CTGCTTAGCTTCTGGTGAACTTTTTAGAAAAGAAAAATCTCATGTTTTCTTTTCTAAGAATGTTAAAACCAACACTAGGCAGAATATTTGTATGAAACTAGGTATCTAGGAAATGAATGACCTTGGTAGGTATCTTGGTGTTCCTGCTATTCATGGGAGAATCACTCGAAATACCTACAAGTACATCCTTGGTAGAATTGATAGAAGTCTTGCTTCATGGAAAGCCAGAACCCTCTCACTTGTTGGAAGGGTCACTCTTGCTACTTCAGTTTTGAATATCATCCCTACTTATGTTATGCAAACAACACCTATTCCCATGACTGTGTGTGATATCATTGATAAGAAAATTTGTGGGATTGTTTGGGGATCTCAAGAAGGGAAAAGAAAAGGCCACCTTGTTTCTTGGGAGCAAATCTGTAAACCTAAGAAGCTGGGGGGGGGGGGGGGGGGGGTTGGGGCTTAGATCTGCTCGTTGCTTAAATAAAGCTTACATGATCAAACTTGCTTGGCACATTTTCAACAACGAGAATGATCTTTGGGTTAGAGTTTTATAGGGGAAGTACTACAAGCAGAGGAATGGGGAAATTATTTCAATGAAAAATTTAATCATTCCAGCTTGTGGAAAGCTATTGTTCAGGCTATGCCCCTTATGAAAGAAGCTTCCTGTTGCAGCATACGTGATGGGGAGACCACTAGCTTCTGGAAGCATCCATGGCTTGACTGTGGGGTCATCCTTGAAGATCATCTCTCTCGGGACATCACCACCGAGGAAAGAGAGTCACCAGTTTCCAATTGGGTTACCCAAACAACTGAGTGGAACTGGGAACGCCTGCAACCCCCTCCTTCCTGATGATCTATTGTCTCTGATTGCAGGTGCAGCACCACCTAAGCCTGAGCTTGGAGTGGACAAGATGTCATGGGCGCTTAAATGTGATGGTAGATTTCGACTAAAGTCTGCCTATATGCTTGCTGCTAACCTGGAGGAGGAACAAGAGATGCAGAAGTAGCAAAACCTCTGGAAGTGGAAGGGACCAAGCAGAATCAAGCACTTCCTCTGGCTGATTCTACATGATAGGACCTTCACCAATAAGGAACGAGAAAAAATAGGCATCACGACCAATGCAAATTGAAACCTTTGCAGGGACAAGGACGAAACAACTGAACATATTTTGAGGAGTTGTGAGAGAGCTAAGGTTACCTGGGAGAAATTCAGGAATAAGCTGACGACCAGGAATGTGAACTTACCTTTCCAAGAATGGCTCTTGGATAACCTCTGCAATGAAGAGAAAGGAGTGGAATTCGGGGTTATTTGCTGGAACCTATGGAAACAACGTAATGAGGAGGTCATGGAGGGCAAGCAATTCCAGGTGCAGAGGCTTTGCTGCAGAATCAACGCGTGGATCAACATCATCAAGAAAGCACATTAGTGGAATTAGAGTGTCACCAACACCATCGAAAGGTCCTACCAGCAACGACAGATTACTTGGAATCCACCTCCTGAAGGTTGGATCCAAATTCAAACTGATGGTTCTGTTCTGCAACCATTAGGGAAAGTTGCTGCAGGTGGTTTGCTTAGGGATCACCTAGGAAGATGCAAGGAGGCGTTCGTGTGTAATCTTGGAACCTGCTCCATAACGAGTGCTGAACTGAAGGGAGCATTGACAGGTCTTCGGATTGCTTGGGAAAGAGGCTATAGAAGAGTGCATCTCAACTTGGACTCTGCCACTGCAATTAGCATCATCAAAAACCACTCGGAGACTGATCATAGCCATGGCATCATTGCCAAGGAGTTTGAGTTCCTACTGAATCTTGATTGGGAGGTCATTGTATCCCATGTATATAGAGAGTCGAATTTTGCTGCTGATTTCCTGGAAGATAAGGGTCACTTAGTTCATTTTGGCACACATCATTTCAATGTGTACGACTCTGAACTTGAACACTGGCTTCTCCACGACATGATGGGTACTCCTCATGATCGTTTGATTATTAATATGAGTTAGACGCTTGCGTCGCCCTTCTACAAAAAAAAATGTTGGAGGAGATATTGAACTCAGATGAATTAATTAGAAAGTTTGATGGCATCTAGCATTTTACCCAAACGAGGCTGGTTGCCATGAGAGTAATAAAGGTGATGTAATTTTTCCTTCCTACATAGTTGTTCAACCACTGCATCATAGATGAACACAAACTTCTTTAGCAGACTGAACAAAACAAAAGAGAACAAAGCAGTAAATAATATTTAGGAGCAAAGGTTCAGAAAGGACGAACAAAACTGTAGGAATTACACGACAATGGTGATTGAATCCATCGACACATTTATCAGAAATTCTGCAATGCTTGCTGAACTTGCGAACCTGAGGAAAAGCTTTTTGAAGTATTATGATACAAATCCAGTAGAATGTTTCTGCACAAGCAACCTCATCTAAAGGTAGGATAAAGTTCTCAAAGAAAACAAAAACTGCTAAGTGTACAGAACATTTCATGATAACAGGCATGAATTATTAGAACCTCAATGTAGCAAAAGATATACCATCAATAAGAAATAAAAGGCAAACCAAGTAGGAAGAAATCATTGACTCAACTATTCCAAACTGGTTCTATTATTCTTCTCTGATCGCCAAATTCCATTTCCAAGTACTTCATTTTTCCTCAGCTTAGCCCAAGCTCACCTTCGGCTCAGGCCGTAAAAACACCATACCCCAGCATTGCATAATGTGCAGAACAAAGCTTCATCTCCAGAAATTATGTCTTCATCACTCTGCTAGTCAGCTTTGACCAGGAACCCACAGAAGAAACATCCGAGCATTGAGCAACATGTTGAACCATATCCACCAGATGCTTCTCCATTACTTAATCCTATCTTGTTTTCTTCCTGAACCGAGGTTCCATTTCCTAGGGAAGTAGATTACGTTCATAAGCAACTGAAAGGAGATCTCAAACTAGATGGAAAACCCCATATCTGGAAGTCAGAATCAAGATAAATCCTGCATTCACTACTTGTACATTGTCAAAGAGAGCCAATGCTCCCAAGGAAACCAACCATGAATATCAGTGGCATTCTGTGGTTTATCTGCTGCTGTCTCGGGAACTTGGAGTTGAATGCTAGGATCAGAAGGGTCAATGGCAGTGCATCGCACGTAAAGAGGGAAGACATATAGCGCCCGAGAGCAAAACCAGCAAAGAATCAGACACAATAAGCCAAAAAGCAACGACTAAATACAGTAGGTGAACAGAAGAACTGTGCTTTACTTACCAAAACAGAATAAACACCACTAGCTATATATTCATAGATGTCCTTCCCAAGGAAAGGCGCAAAGAAAGCGTAGTATGCAACCGCCAGCAAGAAGAAAACTGTTATAGCCACGATCTGCAGCACCAATGCACCGCCAAAAAGGAACACATTGTTGTCAGAACAATCCTTGTCAAGTTTGGATTAGCTGCAAAGCAAAAAGGACGCAAATCTAATGAGTTGAGCATTAAAGCCCAATCACGGAATCTCAAAAAGCCATTTTGACTTTGATCACACTCAAATCTCTTCCACTTTTCTTGACCACTGAAACAGAAAGATTGCAACTTTAAAACATTAAAGGGTTCCGCAATCCGCCGTCACAATCAAGTAAACATCACTAAGACAAAGCGCGATAATTAATTGACTAAATGGCAAAAAGAGGGGCGAACCCAGTACTCCTACTAATATTCCAATCGGAGCCTAGATGCCATTCCAGCATCACTCAAAACGGAGGAAGCAGACAAAATTTGAGTAACGAGCCAAATTTTAGCGATAGTGAATGGATAAAATTGTCCAAAAAATCAATGTACCTGAAAAGGGTGGACGGGGAGTTGCATCCATGGCGCCTAGCCATGGCTATCAGGAATCGGAACCCAAAAATGGAAGAACGAGACCCCTTTGCAGGAACAAAGAAAGGGGAATCTCCTTTATGCACTCAGAGGCAGGAAGTTGCCATCTCTGGGGCGATGAATGAGCAGACTTGACTGCTCTCGGCGAATCCCAGAAGGAAGTTCTCGTGCAGTCTTTCCAAGTCAAAACGGCGGTGTAAGCATTCTCATTAAGACAATAATGGCGAATAATGTGGGATTGAGAAAAAAAAAGAAAGTTGAGTTTCGCTTTCTAGGGTTGGAAAGGAAGACAACCCGTTGCCCGTTGGTTTTCTCTGCTTCCACTGAGGAGGAAAAGGACCAGAACGAGAAATGGGGGAAAAATTCAAAACTACCACTGTTTTAAAAAAATTACAAAAATACCACCCATTCCGAAGAAATTCCAAATCTACCATCATCCCCATAAACCGCGCCTCAAAGGCGCGGTTCTCACTCAAACCGCGCGGGCAACATGCGGTTTGACATTGGCCAGGTGCCAAACCGATTTTCCACGTGGCGGTCCATGCAACCGCACGATGGGCAGGCGATCTGATGGCTAACCGCCTGCCAGCGGAGCGATCCGCGTCGTGGATTGCTAACCATTGCGCAATGGAGCGTTTTGCGCGTTGGGAAGCGTAAACCGTGTGCTGGGGACGCGGTTTTTAATGAGGTAAAAATACCAAATCGTCCCTCCAACACGCGGTTCGTGCCCTATATAAACCCATCCCTTCCTCTCATTTTCTTCACACCAAACCCAATCTCCTCTTTCTCTCTCTAAGTTTCTCACTCTACCCATCCCCCTCCCCACCCAAAAATCTTGGAAGTATTGGTTTTGTTGGTTGCGGCTAAGTCTGATCTGCTTTCAAAAAACTTTTCTTTGGTTTTCACTAAAAACCGTCGAATCTCTTTTCGGATCCTGAAAAAATGGCCGATTATATCCAAGAAGAGGGTATTTACTATGATGATTATCAATCGATACATACTCATTTTACCCAATTTTTTTGTTGTTATAATGGTTTATTTAATTTATATACTAATTGATTTTTGTTGTTGTTTTACTCATTTTACTTACCTATTCCGATCCCAATTTCACTATAAAATCTATGGACTTTAAAATTCTACATTATTCATTATTTAAATACTTAAAATCTTTAAATCTAACGATTTTACGATTCAATTTTTTGGGTCAATTTTACTTATTTTTCTCGGAATTTCCAAATTTTACTTATCATGCAAATGACTAACTGTGTTGGATTTATAGGATAGGATGCGGATCACTCTAATATGGGAATTTCAATAATTACTTTTTCTCCTAACACGGCCTACAAAGACCCAATGTCACCTTAGTCAATGTTTAGTGCTAGGGATGCTCACTTAGTTCCTCTCAATTGGTTCAACCTATCATGCATACTATACTGGTGATTCGATCAAAACACATGCGACATCTATAGCATATTGCTTTAGAAGAGTATTCATATAGTGGGGGATCGGTCGCCACGTCCACTAAGAAACTCTAAGATCATTCATCTACCGTTAATTGCTTTAGAGGGCATTCCTATAGTAGAAATTTGAATTTCCCAAACCCATTGGGGTTTTCCATGAATTTTTTGACGAATAAATTCATTGGTTTGAATTTGGCAAAAATCAATCCATTGCCATCCCAGTTCGGAGGCGATGATCTCCATCACTCATGTAGGCTGGCTGACTGAAGCGCCAAAAACGCACCGTATCACGCTGAGTCGCTCGCCTCCCTCTCTCTCCGATGTCTGCAACTGAAACAAAAATGGAGCCTCGATTTCATCGTTAGCGTTAATGGAGCTCAGCTCACTCCACCAAACAAAGGCCAGCCAGAGCTACAAATCCTTCGAAACCTTACGCCGCCGCTCCTTCTCCATCATCTAATCTCTTTCGATCCCTCCAAAACCCCTTCTGTTTAGTGGAGTAGGAAACAAACCATGGCTGCAATGTCCAACTCTCTGATTGTCTCCAGAAACCCTCAGCTCTCCAACCTCTCTTCCGGTAATTCCTTCATTCGCTTTCTTAGATCCCCCTGTTTTCGTCTTCTTTGGCTTCCGTTTCTTGATTGTTATGCTCATTAACTGTTTCTTCTTGTTCTTCTTGCAGGTGTCGCACCTACAGTGTTGTCCTTCAATCCCACTCGCCCTCGGAGCCTCCGAGTTGGTCCCTCGAGAAGGTCGCTCGTCGTCCAAGCTGCCTACAGGTACCATTAGCTCTCCCCGTGTCTTCCTGATGGTAGAACTTCATAGACCGATGATAATGGGTGATGGAAATTCAGTCTAATGAGCTGCTTATGGCTTTGAGCTTAGGGAAGGATTTTGCACCTTCTTGTTGCTACGGTGTTGCTTTGGTTTATAGAATCTGCAATTGCTATAGTGAATTAGACATCTAGCTGGTATTAGCTTCGTCGGCTTCTGCAGTGGATTCATTCTAGAGATGTTCAGGGTTACGTGCTTCTTGTGGTTTGTACGATTCTCTTGTCTCGTTTGTGGTCAGTTGCACGTTAATTTTTTGCTTTCCAGGGATGGTGAAAGATCAGGCAGTACCGGAATCTTCATCGGCGGGTTTGTGTTGGGAGGACTCATTGTTGGTGCACTCGGTTGTGTTTACGCACCTCAGGTCCGATTGTCTTCCCTATCTGAATTGTTCTTCAATTCTTCTTTTGTGTCGATCATTAGAAAAGCTACAGCGAAGATGGTTCAGTGTGATGTCGATCGGCTTGTGAGTTTCTTGTTTCTGTTGTTGCCCATTTTAGATTAGCAAGGCACTAGCTGGCGCTGATAGGAAGGACCTAATGAGGAAACTCCCCAAGTTCATCTATGATGAAGAGAAGGCTTTGGAGGTTTGTACTTTCTTCCTCTCTCTTTACATTTAGCTTTTGACAGTTCATTCGTGTGTTGTGTGGCATCAACCAATTCAGCCTTTTCGGTTTGTTTCGATCTTAAAAGTCTGGAAAAATCTGCAGGAAACCTGTCATTTGCTCTAAGCATTGGCATATTTTCTCAGTACTACTATTTCATTCCTTATCTGTTGGAAACCGACATTTCGTCTCTGATCTGAGTTCTGACAAACTTTCTTCGTGGCTTTGCGCTGTGCCATTTTGTCTATTTGGTTTTGCAATGCATAACCAGTTTGATATTACGAGTCAGCATCTGTTCTAGTTCAGGCAATGAACTTCTTGATGGAAACCTTTCTAATGACATCCTCCTCTTTCACTTGATTTGTTTTCAGAAAACACGAAAGATATTGACTGACAAGATAGCACAACTGAACTCCGCCATTGACGATGTCTCTTCTCAGCTCAGATCAGAAGATGCCCCTAAAGAAGACACGTCTGTGAACCCCGATGAAATCGAAGCTGCAATTTGAGAAATCTGTGTGTGTTTTCTTTTTTGGTTACATTGTTGGTATACAGTTTACTAAGCGGTCAGTAATTTTTGATAACTATGAAATAACAACAGCTGAAACCCATCTTAATGCGCTTTTTAGTAGCTGTTTCTGTGCCGTGCCTCCCAAGTACAAATTGTGTATGACTGTATGCTACTTGCCTCCTAAGACGTTGGGCCAAGATTGATATACACTTTTACTTTCATCAGTTGCCTTTGTAATCGAATGATCTCTCATATCACCTCTTGAAAGTACGTTGTAGTTCCCATTATCTGATCCATTGTGATTGATGATGAATTCGTTTGGAATTCAAGCATGAGTTGCACCAGCTTGAACTCATGACCATACCATCTGATGTTGATATAGATATTGTTACATGCTTCAAAGTCCTCTAGACCATCGACTTTTAGCCCTCTAATATCAGCCATAGATTTAGGCACAGTGGGAGAATCTACAGGATGAGAACGAAATGTTCCTCTCGTTCTGATAGAATAGAAGGGCCATCAGGCACAAACACTGAGATCTTATCCCCACAGATTTTGTCTACTGACACTCTCGCCCACACGTTCTCTCGACGATGTAAGGACCACAGATTTTCCCAAGTGTTGGAGAAAAGAAAATAGATGAGAAAAAGGGAAGAAAACGTATTTCAGCTGCCACTCTTATATAGGTGAAGCATAGTTGTCAAGCTAGAGTTTAGCTCTTTGCAGCAGCCATGGCCACTCACGCAGCTCTTGCTCCTTCAAGGGTTCCTGCCAGCACCAGACTTCCTTCTTCCAAGATCACTCACTCTTTCCCTTCTCAATGCTCCACCAAGGTTATCTTTCTGTCCTTCCTTCATTCCCTTGTGCATGTTATTTTTCAAGTTCCTGATCAAAACGTTGACATGGCTTTTATGTTATTCTGCAGAGGCTAGAAGTTGCAGAGTTTTCAGGGCTTCGCGCCACTCCTGGCGTGCTGTACGCCAAGAACACTACTGAGGCATCCTTCTTCGACTCTGTTGCTGCTCAGCTTGCTCCCAAAGTTAGTGTTGATCATGTTCATAGCCACTTGCTTCTGTTTAATTGACTCCGCATAGGCTGTAATAAGTTTTGCTTGAATTGATGTCTTGGAAGTCATCCATTTAGCTTACAGCTTTCGGTCTTCATTGGAATTAGGCTGCATCCGCCACACCTGTAAGGGCGGAGACTGTTGCCAAATTGAAGGTGGCAATCAATGGATTCGGACGCATTGGTAGGAACTTCCTGCGGTGCTGGCATGGTCGCAAGGACTCACCTCTTGATGTTATTGTTGTCAATGACAGCGGCGGTGTTAAGAATGTAAGTAGCCTCTGATATCTAACTTGTGAAAAAAGATTGCAATTTTCTTTATCAATTTCCATGGGTAGGAAATAAAGGATCTGTGTCCTTGTGCAGGCTTCCCACTTGCTGAAATATGATTCGATGCTTGGAACTTTCAAAGCTGAGGTGAAGATTGTTGATAATACCACCATCAGTGTTGATGGAAAGCACATCAAAGTCGTCTCCAGCAGAGACCCCCTCAAGCTTCCATGGGCTGAGATGGGAATCGACATTGTCATTGAGGTAATCTACCAAAACCATCTTGTTTTGAAAAACTGTCTTAATCTGGATGGTGGTTCTGTTCATCATTCGATATGTCTTCACAGGGAACAGGAGTATTCGTCGATGGCCCTGGTGCGGGAAAGCACATTCAAGCTGGTGCCAAGAAGGTGATCATCACAGCTCCTGCCAAAGGTGCCGACATTCCAACCTATGTGGTTGGTGTTAATGAGCAGGATTACTCACACGAGGTTGCCGACATTGTAAGGTAGGTATCTTCAGTGTTGATCTTTGAATGGAACTTGGCAAATCAGTATGAACAAACTGACAATTCCACATTTGATGCTTTGGATGCAGCAATGCTTCCTGCACCACCAACTGTCTGGCCCCATTCGTCAAAGTCATAGACGAGGAATTCGGTAGGAGGGCTCCCATCTCAAATCACCATTCGAAACCACCTGGCGTTGAAGCTTGAGTTTCAAGTAACTGATCTTTTTGAGTTCTTTTGCAGGCATTGTCAAGGGAACAATGACAACTACCCACTCCTACACAGGAGACCAGGTACTTAATCCAATCGCCCAATCATTCATAGCAAACAATCCCTAATACAAAGTTCACATGTCCTCAAGAGTTTTGGTTGCCCTCTGTGAATATGCAGAGGCTGTTGGATGCTTCCCACCGTGACCTGAGGAGAGCTAGGGCAGCAGCACTCAACATCGTCCCTACAAGCACCGGTGCAGCTAAAGCCGTGTCGCTAGTCCTCCCTCAACTCAAGGGGAAGCTCAACGGCATTGCTCTCCGAGTCCCCACGCCCAATGTCTCGGTGGTTGACCTAGTCGTCAACGTAGCGAAGAAAGGAATCTCAGCTGAGGATGTCAATGATGCCTTCAGGAAGGCCGCAGAGGGACCATTGAAGGGCATATTGGACGTCTGCGATCTTCCTCTCGTGTCTGTGGACTTTAGGTGCACCGATGTGTCATCGACCATCGACTCTTCACTGACCATGGTGATGGGAGATGATATGGTGAAGGTGGTAGCCTGGTACGACAATGAATGGGGATACAGGTTAGTTAACCCAAAACCAAAATGAAACTAATAAAGTTCTTAGCTTTGTGAAGGAAAGTGAACCTAAAATGGAATTGTGGTTTTCTGTTGGATTGAAACAGCCAAAGGGTGGTTGATTTGGCACACTTAGTAGCCAACAAATGGCCAGGAGTTGCTGCTGGAGGAAGTGGAGACCCATTGGAGGACTTCTGCGAGACAAACCCTTCTGAGGAGGAATGCAAAGTTTATGAAGCTTAGATAGATGAATGAACATCTGGATTGGCTTTCTTCTTTTAAAATTTTTTGCACATTTTCGGGTTTCTTCCTTTCCCTTGTGAAGAGAGATTGGTGCAAGAGGATCATGTTTCTGTAAACGTGCAGATGAATGGTCCATGGTTGTGAAGAAAATAAGGCATTGTTTTTCGCAGAAGCTTTTGAAAGTAAAGATCAAATTGCATGATTATTATGTTTGTACAGAGCAAAGGCCAGAGAGTAACGAAAACCTGAGGCTGGGAATCTAAAGATAAACCGACGCCGCAGCGAGGTGATCCCTTGAACGAGATGAACTCTAGTGGAAATTGCTATTTGGAGCAAGGGAAAGGCGTCGAACTAAGGCTAATGCTACCGGCGAGGAACAGCCGAACAGGGTGAAAAGAGGGGTTAAATGCTAAGTTGGTCCATGGCTTTACAAATATGTTTACTTTAGCCACTGATACTGGATACATGTGCTTAGCCGTTTGTACTGACTTTACATTCTTGTTTCATCATTAATTATTCACCGTTTATTTACGGTTACAAGTTTGTTCATTCGAATTGCTAAAAGAATTCACGTTTGCCACTAAAATTACTTTATTTCATTTGTGGTCATTAAAATAAGTTAAATGGTTCAAGTTTGGTCACTCTCCATTAAATTTTTTTGATGTGGCAGTCAACTCTAAGAGTTGACCGTTAAATGAGTGAGGTGGCAATTACAAAAATATATATGAATAAAATTTAAAATATTTAAATTTCCACCTCATAAATTCAAAGCCGCTTCCAATCCAACCAACCGTCTCTCCGACTGGGAACTCCTCCGCCGCCGGCCCCTGCAACCTCACTGGCGTCACCTGCCGGTGACCCGAATCCTTCTTGAGAACTTCAACCTCACCACCGCTTCCCATCTCCACCTCCGCCTACTAGCTTCCCATACTCACCTCCGGGTCCCAACCTCAAATCCAACTCGCTCGTCGGTACCGTCGCCGATTCCTTCTCCAATTTAACCTCCCTCAACCTTTTTTCCCGTCCCACAACAGATACTCCGGAGAATTCCCTCTCCCCCTCTTCCGCCTGGATCTTGCCCACAACAATTTCTCCGGCGCCATCCCTGGCACCCCACCACGCTAAGCCTGTTGACTCTCCTCCTCGAGGAAAACAATTTCACCGGCTCCATCTCCTCGTTAGTTTTACTGTTGTCGCTCCACGATTTCAACGTCCCCTATAACTGCCTCTCTGGCGGGACCCCCTTAATCGATGTCTGGCATCCCTGACTCCGCTTTCTCCCGCGACTATGCTCTCTGCAGCGAATCGTTGGCTCAAGCCTGTAAATCCGAGCTGAAATTTAAAAAAATAAAAAACTAATTTCTTTTAAGCCGTCGAGACCATTTCATCTCGCTCGCCCTCGCCGCCGCCGCCGTGGGAGACGAATCGGCAGAGTTTAGGGTATTGGAGCGATTGAGAGGGAACCCGCCGCACTCCCCTCGCCCTGCTTCTAGCCGCCATCGCCCTCTGCTCTCTGTCAATCCCACTCTCCTTCTGTACTCTTTATGAGCTCTCTCTCACTCCGGGTAGGCTTCTCCACACAGACGACCTTGTATTAGCTCCGCGGCCGCGACGGGAGCAGGAGTGGGAGGAACCGCCGGGATTCGATGGAGGACACGTTGACGGTCACGCGAGGAGATTGAGTGGAACCAGTGGGGATGGGGGATTAGAAAATTATTTTTTATTGGTTACGAAAATTAGGTGGAAATTTTAAGAAGTTTAAATTTTATTTATATATTTTTTTTAATTGCCACCTCATTCATTTAACAGTCAACTCTCAAAGTTGACTGCCACATCAGAAATATTTAACGGAGACTAACGGAGAATGATCAAACTTGAACTCATGAACTAATCTTAGTGACGAGTAATGAAATAAAATAATTTCAGTGGCAAACGTGAATTCTTTTAGCAATTCGAGTGATCAAACTTGCAATTTACCCGTTTATTTACATTAGACTTGGTTAATATGGTCAACTTTTCAATGACATACTAGATGAACAAGTTGAGTTGACAAATAAATTGATGAGCCACTATTCTTTTCTTTTATCTCTCTTTTAATATCGTTGTGTATCAATTGATAAGTCGTTTTTCAAGATGATTAACCAAGTCTATTTCATTTTGAAAAATATTAATCTTGCTTTCGTTAAAGTTTGAATCTTTTGCTAAAGTTTGAATGCCTTAATAATCTTTTTGATCAAAACAACATTGACAGATCACCAAAATATCTCACGAATCACCAGTAATAAAATAATAGTATAAACTTAAAGGGTGATATTATGAAGATGTGTTAATGGTGAATGTGAAACACAATGGTGAATCTAAGGGAGGTCTACATGGGTCACTCACGACCCAACCCTCCTCTGGTACGAAGTTAGTATAACACTTATAATTTTTTGGGTAAATACAATATAATAGCCAAACCTTTGATTTTAAATAATATAATGGTCAAGCCTTTCAAAAAATAAAATAATAAACATTCCATTAACTTTCCATCCGGTCAAACGTTAGCTGACCCTGACATGACAAATTTATTGTTGAGTTGGAAGAACTTTAGTGACATGACAAGAAATCAAATGTTTAACTAGACTATAAAAATATTTATTAGTTTTAAGTTTTAACCCATCAGTTTCTTAAAAATATAACAAAAATAATATTAACAATCACCAAATTAAAAAAAGCAAGGATAGGAAACAGAGTCCGATGAGGTGATGCAGAATTAAAAAAAAAACCTTGAAATCAGGGTTGTCGATCTGTCTCCCTGCCGGAAAAAGTTAATCTGCTAACTTGAAGATTCGTTAGCAGATACTAACTGATATCCAAAATACATGAACTAGTATCCAAGTACTAAAGTATCTAGAGAACACAGACTAGTATTCAAAGTTTGTTAACTGATATCCACCATGAATCAACTATTATCCCAAATTCACAAACTAATATGTAGACAACACAGAATAGTATCCATACATCACATAATTAATAATAATTGGAATCAAAATGAAACCCTATGATTTTGCCCAGAACCTCAACAAAATCCTTACGACCCCCGCCGCTAGGTCATCATCCTTGTGAGGCCAAATCTCATTTTCCCCCTATATCGTATTTTTCATCTTTTCGTAGCGGCCGTCGAGACCAGAAGCAAGGACAAGGGAGAGCAGCCTCATCGATGGAGACAAAAACCAACCAGAAAGCAAGGATAGGAAACAGAGTCCGATGAGGTGATGCAGAATTAAAAAAAAAAAACCTTGAAATCAGGGTTGTCGATCTGTCTCCCTGCCGGAAAAAGTTAATCTGCTAACTTGAAGATTCGTTAGCAGATACTAACTGATATCCAAAATACATGAACTAGTATCCCAAGTACTAAAGTATCTAGAGAACACAGACTAGTATTCAAAGTTTGTTAACTGATATCCACCATGAATCAACTATTATCCCAAATTCACAAACTAATATCTAGACAACACAGAATAGTATCCATACATCACATAATTAATATCCAGATAACACATAAGAGTATCCAGATAACACACAAAAGTATCCATATTGAATAAAAGTTGGTTGATTGTGGATATTAGTTGGTATCTGCTATATGGATACTAATTTGTGATGTTTTGAATACTAGTCTGTGCTATCGAGATACTCAGCAGACTTGGATATTAGTTCATACATTTTGGATATTAGTTAGTATGTACTAACGAATCTTCAAGTTAGCAGAATAACTAGGCTGCTCCCTGCCCCTCTTTCATCGATGAAACACTCACCGCTCGTTTCTATACAAATACTAGCCTTGTCCGAATAGCCGTTCGTTTCTTTCCAGATTCATCGACGGCAGGATTTTGAACGAGAGAGCAGAGGGTGACGCCAGCTAGTGTAGATCCGCTGAGCTGCACCCGACTCAATGCTCGTTTCTTTACAGACCTGAGCTTTCCCCGACAAAAAAGCTCGTTCCATTCCCAATTCGTCGGCGGCGAAAGATGGATTTGGTGTGGCGGACTCCGGCGAGGTCATGGAGGAGGCCGAAGAGCAGAGGAGAGAAGAGAGGGTGGAGGGGAGGGGAGGGGAGGGGGAGTGGGGAGAAGAGGAGGCTAATGCATATCCGAAGTCGGTGGAGATTTGGGTCGGGAAACTAAGGAAGATGGCATTTGTGGCGTTGCTTGACAGAGCTGGTCGGATGAGAGAGCTCGAGGATGTTGGGCTTGGAGAGGCAAACCGCACATCGCCGGAAAAATGACGGAGGAGACGAAGGTGAAGGATAAGAGGAGGAAACCAATGGCTATTTTTGTTTTCATTTGTTTTCTAATTTTTGAACTTTAGAATAATATTTTGATAAATCAAAAAGAAAAAATTATAAGCTGATGTGTACAGAAATTTGCCACGTTAGAGTCAATTGACGTTGATCGGATGGAAAGTTAACGGAATGGCTATTATTTTGTTTTTTTAAAGGTTTGGTTATTATTTTGTTTAAAATCAAAGGTTTGGCTATTATATTGTATATTTACCCTAATTTTTTTGATTTTAGGTTTTTGGTCCAGTGTTAGTTGGGTCTCGATCCAGTTCTCTCTATCTCTTTTTAAATGTGGCACAATGCTTCTCTCTATGTATTTTTAAATGTGGCACAATGCTCTATTATGTTCTGTATCTGTCCCTGATGAAACTTACATGTAAAGCTAACTAGTGACTGATGGCAATGTGATTGAGCGGGTACCTCATTACTCATACTCGTCCCGTACCAAGCGCGGGTTGGGTCAGGTAGGTGCAAAGCAGTCAAAATAGAGATTTTACGTAAAATCGAAAATGAGGGTAAAATCATAATCGTAAAATCGAATCATAAAATCGTAGGATTTTAAGGTCCATATAAAAATGAAGATGAAATAATATTAGTAAGGAAAATCATGAATAACACAAGCACATAACAGTTACAATGATAATTTTTTAAGGTTAATGTTCCAATTCATCAAGGTTAATGTTAAGAGGTGGTGAATCGATGATGATTAAAATGTTGATGTGAATTGATTATAGTCGATGTGGTTAGTGTGAGAGAACTAGATGATGTTGGTGGAGGAGAAGAAAAAGAGGCATAATTTTGCAAATTATGAGGAAAATAAGTAAAATTGACTCAAATATTTGAATCGTAAAATCGTAAGATTTTAAAGATTTAAATCGTGAATAGTGTAGGATTTTAAGGTCCATAGATTTTATAGTGAAATCAGAATCAAAATAGGTAAGTAAAATCGTAAAAGCGTAGGATTTTAAGATTTAAATCGGGATGTTGACTAGTATGGGTAGGTGATACCCGCGCGGATACGAATGAGGCGGGTCGATCCATTCTTATATATTATTTTCAAAACGAATGTCGATGTTTCACTCTCTTATAAGAAGACACGGAGAAAACACTTCATAAATGAATGGGAACTATAATAGAAGGAATAATTGTGTCTAAATAGTTGAAGGATAGAGTTTTAAAATTTCCTTGGGATGAAAATATTATTTTAGAAAGGCCATAAGAGGGTAAATATAGATACAATATTGTTGCAAATCATGATGGAACAGATTGAGAAATAGACATGTCCCACCCCAAGCTACTGCGAGTCGGATAATATTGCTCCAAACGGATTGGAGCAGGTCGGGTCACACTGCAAAATTGTGATAAATACACTTGTATAACCATAACTTTCACGTTTTTGATAAATATAGCCATAACTATTGGAAAACACAAAATAGCCAAGAAATTGGAAGGTCGTGTGACAAATCTAGCCATTTTCGTTAGAAACTTTAACGGTGTTAGAAACTACGTTAGTTAGATTAACGTTAGGCTGACTAGGATGCCAAATCATCGCACACGTCAGCGACAACTCAACCACACTTGCCACGTAAATGCCATGTCATATTTTAATTCAAAAATAAATTAGTTAATCAATTAATAACTAATTTAAAAACATAAAAATATATTTTTTTTTCCTTTTCAATATTCAGTCTCCTCTCCCTCTCTCCTCTCCTTCGTCTTCCCCATCTGTTCTCCAATGGACTCCCCCACAATCTCAATGACGGAGATAAACAGAGGCTGAATCATCACCAAAAAAGTCAATTTCTTCACTTCTTCTCTATCAAAATCCCTTCTACCTTCCGTTCTTCTCGTTGCAACCCTTCCATCCTCCCAAATCGCCAACGATGCCGTCGTTGCCAGGAGAGGCACAGCTTCAATCGAAGCCACCGCCGCATCAATCGTCATTCCCAACCAGCAACCATTGCTCCCAACCAACGACCCGACCCCCTCCGTCTCCGAACAAATCCCCTTCCTGCAACAAAAATCTCAAACTCAGAAATACCCAAAATCTCCAGAGAATATACCTAACCCCCTTCGTCTCTGATTCAGATCTGCCTCACCGATCCTACCGCACAGCCAGGCCCTGCAGCTCCTTCGCCGCAGCCCTCTCCGCCTTCAGCTCCTCGTACCGGCTCGCCTTCACCATTTCCCCCAATCGAACGAGCATGAGGCTGACGTTCATCCCCAGTTGCTCGAATCCTCTCAACTCGCTCTCCCGCATCTTAAATCTCTGCCTCATCCGCAGAGCCAACCATGGATGAAGCTGCCATGACGGCGACGACGATTGAGGATGAAGAAGTGTTGTTGCTGGTGGTGGTATTTCAGGTGGCGATGAGTTGCGGAGGCGGCTTGAGGTGCTTCTCGACCTCGAGGGGATCCAGTCGGCAGAGAGGGTATCGATTGAAGCGTTGATTTCTAGGGATAGACAAAGGGCAAATATATTTTAGGGATTTCATGTGGCTGTATTGAGGATTTTGTGTTAATTTGTTCTTGTTTGTGAAAAAAAAATTCATTTCCACGTCTGATTTCCATGTCGGAAGGTAGGGTAACCCAGTGGCCAACTCAACATCAGTCGTTAGTCTAGTCATAACGTCTATTAACACCGTTACCAAAATGGACAGAATTGGCTATTTCGTGTTTTCGAATAGATATGACTATATTTGTAAAAAACGTGAAAGTTATGGCTATACATGTGTATTTTGCCTTAAATTAATTAAAAACAAAGGAGAAAGAAAGAAATAGGAACATGACAGTAGGCAGGGCGATGTGAAAGTGTAGCAAGTCTCAACCCCAATAATGGAAATCCTTTTAGCTAAGATGCTACCTAAGTTCACCTCTCTTTCATTGAATACAAATGGTGAGCGATTTCGATCCCGCAGCTTACTATGATGTGGTTGAATCTTGCCTCTCGTGTGTGCCAATTGCCTGAGCGATTTGAATTACAAAGTCTTCAAGAGGGACTAAATCAGTTGGGTCGGGGGAGAGGAGGTTGGGGGTTGGGAAGGCGGTGGCAGTGGTAGTGGATTGATGGCGAGGAAGAGCTACACGAGCGCGGAAACTTGAAGGAATTGTTGGCGGCGCCGCCGAATGCGACCATGAATGGGGAAGGCGGTGCATCCGGCTCCGTCCGCTACACCTGGGAATCCACACCTAGAACTGCGAAGCACATTTTTGCGACAAACTTCGCCGCCTTCCTTCAACTCGTCATCGAATGACTCCCACCGCCGCCACTTCCGCTCCTCCGCTGCCATGAGATTGTCAAACTTCCTCTTCGGAGCCCTTATTATTAGAGCAACAGAAGAAAAATTTCTTCTGTTGCTCTAATACTTATCCCCAAAACCAGTGTTGCTCGAGGGTTGAGGTCCTCTGGCACATCTTCTTATTCTTCTCATTTTGATCAAAATTAAATTATAATTCTAATAGGAGCCCCAACTAGAGAATGAGTGTGGGACGACGTGGAGATGGCGGCGGAGAGGGAGAGGAGTGAGAGGAATGATTTGGGTTGGGTTGGAATTGGGGGTGTTGGGTTGGTTATCGTTTTAATTGAGTTTGGTTGTTTATATTTTATTAATTCTTTTGATGACTTGGATGCTGACTGGATGGCTGACTAGAAAGAATTAACAGAATGACTGTTTTGATATAAGCTCAAACGTATATTACCGTATCGTTATAAATTAAAGATTTATGATAAATGTAAAGGTTTGTCACCATTTATGTTAATTACCAAAAAATATACAAATAGCATAGAAAATCCCACCTACATTTATTATATCACGATGGCGTCAATGGATCAAAACTTCCGCCAGAATCATTTCTGAGAACCCTGAGGAACCGCACTCCGCCATCCCTTCACTTCCAGCCGAAGAAAAATCCCTAATTCCGCTGACCTCAACAGCCTACTACCTCACCCAATTGAAAGATTACTCGGCGGAGCATTGCATGTCTCAGAATGAGACGATGTCTTATACTTCGTATGTTTCTAATGGTGATACTGTCGCCATTGGTGCGCTGCATCTCCAACTCAGCCGTTCCTCAGACTTTTCTCTCCGATCAGAGCAGCCTTGCCTCCAGCCCTTTCAAATCCCTTCTGCCTCCGATCCCGTAAGTACTTCCAAGTCTTAACCCCTTTGCAAAGCACTGTTTTTTGTGAATGTCTGGCGACTACGGGTCAATTTGGGATAGAGTTTGGATTGACCTTATTCTAGCTCGATCCATTTCTTCTGGGTCTTTTTTCTTTATCAGTTGAGTTTGTTGAATAGACAAGGGATCTCAATCCCCAATTGGCTGCTCATTTCGGTGCTTATCATTTACTGTATTAATTTCTCCCGTCATTGCTTGCTCGTGGTTGGATTCAGCAAGCGTGAAGTTGCCGTGGTGGCTGCTTTGGATGGCACTATTTACTTGGTGGATGCTAGTTCAGGGAAGATTCGCTGGTCTTTCCCTACTGGGTCGCCTATATATTCTTCTTATCAGGCTACACTTGATACGGACGATGATGGGCTTAACGCTTCTGAATTGAGCAACGACTTATATTATGTCGACTGTGGGGATGATTGGGACCTCTATCTGCATAGCAAGCACCTGGGTAAACTGGTAGACTATACCCTCCATCTGCCAACATAAATTGATCTTATCAAATTTTGTATCTTTATGGAAAAATGCAGTAAGTTGTTGCTTTAATGTCCATCAGAAATGAGAAAACTCAATCGGTACACTGTTTTGCAGCAAAAACTGTCTCTAAGTGCTGATGAGTACATCAGGAGGACGCCACACATATCAGAGGATGGTGAGATTACATTGGGGTATAAAAAGACTACTGCATTTCTTGTTGATGCCAAGACTGGAAAGGTAGTCCGCTCTTTTGCACTGGATAGCCCTTCACCTAATAGGGATGGTGTGGAAGAAAATGCCCTTCGTTTGATAAATGGCCCGGAAAAGTTGGTTGAAGCAGGTGTTGCTGACTTGGGAACTCTTGAGAATCTGGTTTACATCACAAGGACAGATTATGTGTTGCAGCACTACTTGCCAAACTCCAGTAAAGTCCTCTGGAATGTGGCTTTTGCAGAGATTGAGGCTGAATTTCGATGTCAGGATGGTCGGAGTTTCTTCGATGGAATTTCTCCTGATGCAGATGTGGGAAGAAATGAAATTGAATGGCAATTTCCTTGTCAAGTGAAGACGGTTGCTGTGCGCATTCGGGATCAAAACTTGCTGCCATTTGAGAAACTAGCAATTAGTCATCCCGGACTTGGACGCAGAGCTCAGTTCTTACCTGCCAAGGATCAGCTTCCCGCTTTAGAGCCTGTTTACAAACTTCCAACTGCTCTTCCCACCAATGCAGGCAGATCCACTCTTGCTTTGCCTTCATCGGATATCTTGAGTGAGAATGCTCTTGTACCAAAGAGTGCCAGTTGGCCTTCTGAAATTGCAGCCAAGTCTCAAAGGTGGTCCAGCATAGTCACTATTGTCTCTGTTCTTGGTATCATCATCTACAATTATATTGCAGGTAGGAAACGGAGCAAACTGAGTAAACCGGTAGAACTTAAAATGCAAACTGGAATGCCTAAGAAAAAGAAGAATAAGAGAACAGGTACAGGAATAGGAACAGGAACAGGAAACAACAAGAACCATTCCTCAAAGACAAATGTGTCTCTGGAAGGTAAGGTTGGAGGCCCTGATGAAACCGAGGATCGTGAAGGAAATGATAGAAAGATACCACAAAGTCTTATGGATCTTATTGATGGTCATGTAGACGGACGTAGAATTGGTAGGTTATTAGTTTCAAGCAAAGAAATTGCTAAGGGTAGTAATGGAACAGTGGTGCTAGAGGGGGTGTATGATGGCCGTCCTGTAGCTGTTAAACGCCTTGTGCAGACCCATCATGATGTTGCTATCAAAGAGATTCAGAATCTTATCGCCTCTGATCAGCATCCCAATATTGTTAGATGGTACGGTGTGGAGCATGATCAAGATTTCATTTATCTTGCTCTGGAGCGTTGCAGTTGCAGCTTGAGTGACTTTATTTATGTTCATTCTGGTATATTTCAAAACCAAATGAACTCTGAGGGACAACAACCTGGCAGTTTGCCTGAATCTACTGTCAGGATTTGTACAATCCTGCAGCAGAATAAGAACATTGAGTTGTGGAAATCAAAGGGTTACCCTTCTCCCCTTCTGTTAAAACTGATGAGGTCAGTGGTTTTGTTTCCTCTCTACTCGGTTTCCTTGCTTGTTGTTTCTCTTGGGTTTGCAAATATTGAGTGTGATCAGTGGAGATGAAATTGCCATTTCCTTAGGTTTATTATGGCAACACTAAGTTTCTTTCTATGTTCAACTTTGCACTATAGTCATATCCCTGAATCACTGACATGTGACAAACTGGGCATGTCTTGATTAAAAATGTTTGAATATGCAGCGACATTGTTTCTGGCCTGGCCCATCTGCATGAACTTGGGATAATTCATCGGGACTTGAAGCCTCAGAATGTCTTGATAATCAGCGAGAAATCATACTGTGCTAAACTTTCAGATATGGGTATTAGCAAGCGCCTTCTTGGAGGCATGTCTTCCTTAACTCAACATGCGACTGGTAAGTATGGCCCGGGTATCTGATAGTTCATCCTATTTTACAAAGGGATGGAGAGGAACTTTTAAGATTGGCGTCAGAAATCTTTATCTGAAGTGATTGCTACTGTTGCAGGCTATGGAAGTTCAGGCTGGCAAGCTCCTGAACAACTTCTCCAAGGGCGGCAAACACGTGCAGTAGATTTATTTAGTTTAGGCTGTGTTTTATTCTTCTGCATTACAGGGGGCAAGCACCCGTTCGGGGACAGCATTGAACGAGATGTAAATATTGTGAATGATAGGAAAGACTTATTCCTGATAGAGAACATACCAGAAGCCGTTGATCTATTCACTTCCCTCCTGGATCCCAACCCAGATAAGAGGTAAACCACATTTCCTTGTAAATCTGGTCCAATTTTTTTTCTTTATTTTCGATCCAGTTCTATGCCGATTCGGTCCAATTTTGGGCATAAAGGACTCAATTTTGGGCATATAATTTGAGTTCCTTCGATCTTTGCAGACCAAAGGTCGAAGAAGTTGTGGTTCATCCCTTGTTTTGGCCACCAGAGAAGAGACTCACATTCCTTCAGGATGTGAGCGATCGTGTTGAACTGGAAGACCGAGAAACCGAGTCAGACCTTCTTACTGCATTAGAGAGCATCAGAACTACAGCATTAAATGGCAAGTGGGACGAGAAGATGGAAGCCACATTCCTGAACAATATCGGCCGTTACAGACGGTACAAGTTTGACAGTGTTAGAGACTTGCTCCGTGTCATACGTAACAAGTCCCATCACTACAGAGAGCTTCCTAAGGAGATCCAGGAGCTGCTTGGGTCACACCCTGAAGGTTTCGAGAGCTACTTCTCTAATCGGTTCCCTAATCTCCTGATAGAGGTGTACAAAGTGATCTGCAGCCATTGCGCAGAGGACGACTTCTTCAGGAAGTACTTGCAGACAAATGTAATCTAACCTAACCAGTATAGCAGTTGTAGAAAAGGCTAATTGTAATGCATGGCAATATGGCATTGGCAATCTGTTGTACACAATAACCAGCTAGTGTTTACATGTGAAATAATAGTTCAGTTTTCAGTTTTAGAGCAGGATCATCTGAATATATGAACAGAACATGTAGATAAGTTGATTATTGGTTTTAAGATGGGGACGACTAAAACATTCACCCAAATTTAAATGGATGTAAGAAAGTGCATATGATATTACGGATTGAAGGTATGAATTTGTTACTATCCAATTATCTATATGTGTATGGCGCAACTTGAAAATACAGCTATACAATTAATTTCTACCCTTAGGAACGCAGTCTGTTTGAAGTTTGAACTGAATTTAACAAATGATTAAGGTGATTCGAAGGTTCTGAGTTCCTTTCCATTACGTTAACAATTTCTTTACATAATGATACTGATAAGCAGCCTCCTCTTTGAGACCCTTCAATTCCAATTTCTATACATAATCAATATATATATTTTGCTGTTGATTGACTGTAAAAACTCGACTCTTACTCGGGACTAATCCCATTTCCATTCATGTTCCTTCTTGGTATCTCCATTTCCATTTCTCTCTTCTCATTCTTCTCAAACTCACCCAGCCTGCTATTATCAGATAGTGAAGTCTCCAACTTCCTCCTCTTACTACTCCTACCCTTCTTGGAAGTGTCTTTCTTCTCATTCATTATCGACAACAGACGATGAATACTTCGAGAACGCGACGAGCTACCCTGACCGGACTCCAGAGCTTCATTAGGCTCAGTTCTATAAAGTTTCCTGATAACCTCCACAAAGTATATGACAAGAGCTACAAAGCATGCCACCCCACATATCAAGAAAAGGCCGACAAAGCTCTTAAGATGGAGCCTGTCTGATTCAATCTCTGAAGTCTCCGAACTGCAACTGGACCCCACCAGCCACTTATCATGGATCCTTTGGAGATCCCCGTTCTCCGATAGCTCCAGGATCGCGGTTGATATGTCAACAGCCAGTGGGGAGTCACGCGGAAATGCCTTCCAGGACAAGAAACAGGGAGAAAAAAAAATTCTTCAGGAACAAGACCCTAGTAAGAACTTTCACTAATGTGACTAGTCACGGTTTCCAAATAGCAAATACTTACAAATCCCCAACCACTTTTGGTAAACTCTTGACCCACGATTCGGAACGTGCATTGAGATGCGAGGAAGAGTTCCACATAGGGGCGTTCATCGACAATTGCAGCAACTCCTCCATTCTTGGGACCCTTTTGGAGGGCTGCAGCATATTCTTCAGGTGAGCCAAGTTCAATTAGCCGAGACTTTGGTATGCGTAGCTCCTCTCCCAGATAGTATTCAGCAAAGGAACCTGTTTGATATCCTATAGGGTCATCGCCTTCCTTCAAGCTTTCGATTCCTTTGATTGGAGAAAAGAGCTGTTGCACTGTGAGGATTGATGTCAGGCTTGCTGTGTAGCTGGAGTTGATTATGAGAACCACAAAGAGCCATATTAGCAGCACCATCCGTCCAAGTGTGCTCACTGTGTTCTCTCCTGTCAAAGCAACGAGAAATTCAAGTCTGTAAATGGTGTTGTTCAATTCACATCATAATTGGTTAATTCATATATAATGTACTTGCCACTGAAGTTTGGAACTAAAATAACAGTCAGTCCGCCCATGGCCAGTATAGCTAATTACGCGTGAAGTCCGGCAACCTACATAATTAACCACAAAACTCACTGCACAAGCTAAAAGAGGCACTCACTGTGGGCGAAAAACAAAGTTGAGAGGCTGAACCTGCAAAGGTTGTCACAAACATATCAGACACAGCTTTCTGTGATAGAGAAAACCATGACCAGTTTGGTCAATAAAACTCACCACAAAACAGTAATGATCTGTCTTTTCGGAGGGCCTCTGAATTCGTCATTGATCCTGTGCTCCAGTATCCACACAACAATGCCAACAGCAAGGAAGAAACAACCAGTGACGATCCACATGATGGGACTGAAGGGCCTAAGGAAAGCCCATGCCCCTGTGTTCAACTTCCTGAATGGAACCACCACAACCAGCCCAGATGCCACATAAGGCTGAGAGAAGTCTACTATCTTTGTTCTGTTTGTAACAATGGCAATGTCACCAATAGCAGCGTCAAGAACCTTGAAAAGAAAGATGAAAAGAGAATACTGTAAGGACATCATGTGGTTGAAACATAGAAGTCAATTGCGTAAATGGTCACTAATCTTTGGGGCCAGTGAACTTTATACTACTTGATCTCCATGCAAAAATATATTTGCAAAAAGGACCCCTAAAGATACAAACTTTACCCTACTTTATCTATAAGCAAACAGAAGTAAGCATCTACTACTACTGCTATTACTACTCACTCCTGTGTAGACTGAATTCACTATATCTGTGTAGCTGGGGTTCTTCTTCCCATCTCCAACAGGAACAAACTGATAAGGAACAGGATACTGCAACAAGTTCAAAGCAGCAGTGAAAACATCTATACAAAATCCTTGGAACTTGTCAGATGTTCCTCTGACTGGCGACACAAACTCCTTGTAGCTAACTCGAATCGGCACACCAATCCTCAATTGCTTCCCATTATTGGGGAAAACCCATCCACGAGGCTTTACAGATGTCTCACCGGGCCAAATCACACTATACAGCTGCTGGTCAGCACTCAAACGATTCGGTGGACTCGTGTAAAGTGTCTCAGGAGTGACAGTTGACAAACCAGAATAATTTGACCAGTAACCAACCCTTCTAAACCCAGTCCCAACCACATTAATCACATCATAAGCTGGAAGGACCAGAGATCTATCCGATTCGAACTTGATACGACCAGTCAGACCAACAAAATCGCCCTGCAGTATGTTTTTCAGGAGAAGCTTCCCATCATTGAAAATGCTCATTGCATCCAAGTGAAGGTTACTGTCTCCTCCTGCACTCAACCTTGAGTCATTAGAAAATGAGATGACCCCACCTTGGTTGAAGAACTTGTCGATGGCTTGAGCAACAAGCCACACAGAATCATAAGCAAACAGGCCATAGGAGTTCAGCCCAGGAAAGCCACCACTGTTCCACCTAGAGATAAATGCCTTCTTTCGATCTGAATCTGCAGTATGCTGGCGAAGAACAAGGACTCCTTGTATCTTCTCCATAGTATCAGAATCAAGTGGTGCAGAATCGAGCACAGAAGAAAGCCAATCTGTTGCTATCCATACATACCCATTCCCCATCATTCCCAAATAATTCGCCATGGAGAAGATCTCGAAGCCCTTTTGAGGATAGACATGAAGAACAATGACCCGAGATTCCATCATTGCAACCTTGACAAGAAGGTCCATTGTGTCACTTGAGTTAGCACCAGATTCAGGAGGGATTCCCACTTTGTAGGAGATTTTGCACCGCCTCTCAGCAAGCTTATCGCCTAGAGCTGAAAGGCCATTTCTTCCATAGTCATCATCGATGTAGATAGCAGTTACTTGCTTCCAGTTATAGAAATCCACTATCTCGACCACTGCAGCCATTTGGTAAGTGTCACTGTGCGTGGTTCTAATGAAGAAGGGGAACTGAAGCGAGTTGAGAGTTGGGTCAGTTGCTGCAAATGAGAGGAGGGGAACTTGGAGCTCGTTTGCGACATGTGAAATGATATGGGCGACTACAGAAGATTGTGGACCAATGATGGCGACAGTATCAGTCTCCATGAACTGCAGAGCTGCCATTAGCACAAGGAGATTGTATGCTTTTAAGCTTGAGCGTACATACAACATGCAGATACAACACACAAAAGACAGTTTTAAGTTGAAATGTAGATAGTAAGCTACCTTCAACCATGCCTACGAACCCACTGCAATTGGTGTTCTGCATCTGCACTTTCAGTATGGTTCCCGGTAAGATGCTGGAATTTGCATTTACATCTTTGACAGCTTCCCCGATGGCAATCTTAGCAACTCTTCCAATGGAGGACTCAAATGTGAAAAGGGCTCCAATATTTACTACAGCAGGCCTGGAGGTACCATTTCCACTGTGGCCACCAGGGAAGAGTCTAAAGAAGAGGAACACGAGCAGAAGAAAGCAAGTTGTCTTCATTTGAAGCCAAGAATGCCACTATGATCTCCAAGTGCCCACTGAATGTGTGCCCAATCAACCCATGAGAACCTAGAGATTAATAATGAAAGTTGGGAAGCAAACTTCCATCAGAATTGTCATTATACCAACACAAGCAAGCAAAGTAAATGAATTCGAAAATGGATCAAGGACCTACTGCTTTGCGTATGGGCAGACACATAAGAGGAAGCACAAACCTTGGCAAACATTCAGCCAACAAACCAGATTTTTTGAACCATCCCATTTCAAAGTTTGATATTTTAGGCCATTAGGTTTCAAGTTCCCACTCAATGGGAAAGATACCGAAGAAGGAAAAATCCAGCTTAGGCGTCAAAAGAATGACAGGGTAGCTAGCAGAAACAAGGATCAGATTCTCAATTCAAATAAAGAGCAATCTACAGCCCCCATTATGCAAACTGAGGGCCTCTTTCCTAAATATAGGCAGGCAAAATTCGGCTTTCTTGAAACAACCCACGTGAAACACCAACCATTTACACACACGGTGAAGAGAACTCAAGTACTCAACATGGGGGGAAATATTGTGGAGGGCCATTGACACCCTTCTTAAGTAATTAATAAAAAGGGGGGAGAATCTAGTGCAGATGGCATTTCAGCTTTTACGAGAGAGAGGCAAATTACGAGGACAGAAGAACAAAGTGAGAAACTTGAAATCCACGCGAACCAAAAGACCAGAGAGATACAGAACTGTTTAATTAACGTGCTCGAAGGTAAATGCTTTCCCTTCCCATTCTGCTAAACAAAGAAGCAGGGACTTGCAAAAAGGACAGAACTTAGTTTACCCATTTCTATGGCAGCTGGTGGGTTTGAAGCCATTCAAGCAAAAAGTGAAAACTTGGTGAGAGAGTTTACGAATTGGGAAGGAAGTGCTAAGTTGGGAACTAACCTTTTCGGCGGCGGAAGTCTGATGAACCAATCACAGAACCCAGGTGTGGGATTTTTAATGTTTCACAAGTGGGGAAGTGGAGAAATGGACAACCAGAAAGTTTGTGGCTAGTGTGAAAAGAAGAAGGAAGAAGAGAAAAGTGGTGGGGATGGGGAATGACGGAAAGAATTAAAGATCAATGCTTTGGGCAAGCAAAGGGCTGCGGCGACAAGACAAAATTGCGTAGCCGAAGTTGAAGAATCACGTTTAGAGGTTGCAGAATAGAATAGAACAGAATAGACGCAGGAGGTTAGAGAAAAGGATGGATTCAATCTGGTTTTGGTTTGGGGTTTAAGCATGATAATGATGGACTTATAATGACAGAACAGTCTTCTTGGGTCCCGACATTTTGACATGACAAAATGATGGTAGAATATGCTGTTACTTTTTTTTTTTACCGAGAGAACGTTCATTCATTATCGTTACAAGAGTCTCACGAAACAACAAGGAGGGGGAAATGAGATTTAGGATAATAATCCAGTCCTGAGGGAGCTCATCCCGCGCAAGCGTTCGTGCCACCCAATCCACTCGCGCATTAAACTTCATTGGAAAAAAAAAAGAAACCTTGATTAGAGGGTTCCTGAGAAGGATGTCAGCCATGATCCCCAACCATGCAACGATTCTCCAAGGCCAAGACTCTGGCGGAGCTGAAAGGGCCAGAACCAAGGGAAGACAGTCGGACCGGATCCAGCTTGAACCGCTCGGTTGCACGCCAACAAGAGAGCTTCCAAGAGAGTTTTTGCTTCCACTTCCAAAGGTGCGGAACAAACAAGCGTGGCTGCCCTCCCGTCGCAGATATCTCCATGGTCATCAACAACAATAACGCCATATGCCGCCTTCTGGGAATCATTTAAAAATGATCCATCACAGTGAATCTCCAACACAGGATTACTCGGCGATGGTGAAATTTGGTTCAGGGTGTTGATGGGCTGACACGGGGGTAAAACAGTGTCCGGTGTCCCTAGGTAGCTTAGGGCAGGAGGTCCAAGAGAAGCAATCATTAACCGCCTTGGTGCAGGTGAAATCTGTTACTTTTTCTTGATGAAGAAAAAAAATGTCTAAAGTTGTTAGAGCGACGATTACATTGTGCATGAATTAAAGAAGTTATTTTTGTATGATATAGTATAATTCAAAAATATACAAAATTGAAAATGAATATTTTTGGATGGGGCGAAAGTTAAAATAATTAGACAAACAACTAATCGAAAAAGTTACATCGGTATGGTATAGTATAATTCTAAAATATATAACATTGAAAATGAATATTATTAGACGGAGTGATAGTTAAGATAATTAGGCAAACAATTCATTTGTTTGCATTATTGTGATGAAGCTCAACAATTAAACAGTACATACTATAATTTATATGATGGTTGATGAATGACTAAGAAAAATAACAATTTTGGAAAGAATGAAATATCATAAGTAGTGAGTCATGAGACTCTGAATCTCAATGAAAAATTCGAGAAAAGATATATATTTTTGTAATTTGTATCAAAGAGTGAATTTGAAAAATGATAAATAAGATTCCAAAATTGCGAAACATAATTTTAAAATATTAGATTTTTTTTCAATTGAATAAGTATGAGTAAATAATCTATGGATAAATAGAAAAATACATTTCGAATCGTAACTAAATCTTGAGAATGTTTTTTTTTTTATGGTCGAGATTGAAGCAAAGTAAGTATTCCACTAAATTGAATGCCCTTTATTGTAAGATGTAGATGCATTCGGTATAAACAAATATATGTGTAAATTTATCAATTAAGTTGCATTAACTTTTATTAATAGGTGAGAGATGATTACCATGATGAAACCTTCGGGTTAATTACATAAATATATTTTTTAATTTACCATAAATAAGGCGGATTAAAAAGTAGGACTTTGCTACGGTGACATACATGTCACGGTGACATGCACTTTTCGGTCGACCTCATATAGGATCAGGTCGACCTAATCAGTTGTTTCAGTGTAAAAACAGTTTCATGGTGCCTAATTTGGAGATTCATATCTTACAATTGGCTAGATGGAAATTGGATATTAAAGGCTTGTTTTGAAGCTGAAGTGTCCATCTACACATTAAAGTACTTGGGAGCTCAATAGAAAGTCCAGAAGACCTTTTTTGAATCTGACCAAAAGGCTATGCCAAAATTGGGAAACTGCCTGAAAATGACTAAGTCTGGCAACGTGTTTGTCAAGCCTACTTTGGAGCTCAATTTGAGAATCATGGATGCGAGTCAAGTCCAGGGGCCTCTACCAAGTTAAATTACGTATTTTTTATACAAAGGCAAGGCATTGGATGAAAGATTCAATATCTTTAAGGCTTCAAACAAAAGGCTCGAAGTTGCTACGAAGGCTGTTTTTCTGGCAGCTTGCTTGTGCTCAAAGTCTGCCAGAAAAACAGCCTTCCTAGCAACTTCGACCCTTTTGTTTGAAGCCTTAAAGATATCCAATCTTTCATCCAATTCCTTGAATTTGTATAAAAACATACCTAATTTAACGTGGTAGAGACTCCTGGACTCGACTCGCATTCATGCTTCTCAAATTGAGCTCAAAAATAGACTTCACAAACACGTTTCCAGACTAAGCCATTTCTAGGCATTTTCCCAGTTTTGGCATAGCCTTTTGATGAGGTTCAAAAATGGTCTTCTGGACTTCCTATCGAGCTATCAATCACTTCAATATGTAGAGGGACACTCCAGCTTCAAAACAAGTCATTAGTCTTCAATTTCCATCTAGCCAATTGTATGATATGAATATCCAAAGTAAGCACCGTGAACTGTTTTTACACTGAAACAATAGATTAGGTCGACCGGATCCTATATGAGGTCGACCGAATTCTAAATGACGTCGACCTAATCCTAGCTGAGGTCGACCGAAAAGTGCAAGTCACTGTGACATGCATGTCACCGTAGGCACACCCTAAAAAGTATTGACACAGATATAGTATTTTGGAGAGCAAAACCAGCGAGACTACCTGAGACTCGGGCGCCGCCGCCGTTTATGTTTTTTTGGATCATTTAATTAATTTTACAGCGGCGACGCCAAAGACTGAGGCAGTACCGCCTGAGACTGAGGCGTGTTGTGGAAAATTGTACCTAGCGATGGCGCCCTGGACTATGGCGGGTCCGCTGGCGTATTGCTGGCTACTCCCCTATAAAACCAGCGAATTTCGTTTCAGTTGTTCACCACAAAAAAAATCAACGAAGTTTGAGGAGGAAAAGCTCTGGTTGCTGCTAAGGCTGTTAATGATCCGAGTCGAATCGAGTTTTGCTATGATTCGGGCTCGGCTCTTGAAAAAAAAACTCAAGATCGAGTTCGGCTCGAGTTCGTCACGAGCTTTAGTAGGAATGTTCAAGCTCGGCTCGCTTATGAAAATAAGAGCTCGAGCTCGACTCGAGCTCGGCTCGCCAAAAAGGCTTAACGAGCCAAAATCGAGTTCAAGCTCGGCTCGAAATTACATTCTAACCTGTAGGGCTTACAATGTATATCTTACTTAGACCAACGCATTGGGCAAAAGATGTTTGATGGTTTTGTACATCATTACAATTACCATCCGAACATAAACCTATTTGTGAACAAGTTCTGAGAATCTAAACAACATTAAATAAGGAGTTTGAAACTCAGTGACAAGTCTCAAAATTCAAAAGAAAAGATGCATTAATCATCTTCAACTTGACTCATCAGTTGTCAACTCCCATTCCCCTGCGTAAAAGTAACATTAACATGAGAAATCCATTACCATATCACTTTTTGTTACTGGTTATATTCTATTTGTGCTCATAACAGAACCAAATAATTCAAAACTACATGTTGTGATATAACTTATAAGCAAGCAATGTCTCTCTAATGAGAAAACAAACATAAGCTAGAAATGATTCAGATGGCATAAAGTTTGGCTTCCAGTTTTAGGTTCATTTTGGGTTCCATATATACATTTTTGGTCTACTTTTAAGACCAAGTGCTACAAAGTTCATACCACCAGAGGCAACTAGAAAGAGTCATGAGAGACAGAAAGAAAGATAAATGGAAGGGGAAAGTAAAAATCAGTAGATAACAAAGCTAAACAAAATGCTAACAAGACTAACCAAGATTGTCTAGGCCAAGTCAATTCCGATAATCTCTTCTTTCTTCGTCATAGCCTACAAAGACAAGAATAGAGTTTCTAATTAGACTTCACAGCATAACAACACATAAAACTTAAACATAAACATTATAGTTAAAATTGATCACCTCAGAATTTCCTCTTAGACCATGATAGGCTCTCAACCAATCATGAGAGCAAAGTAGAGCCTCAACTGTCTCTTGTCCCAAGCTCGTTGAGGATCAATCACCCTTCCTCCAGCACTAAAGGTAGCTTCAAAGGCTACCGATGTAACAGGAATTTCCATAATATCGCATGCCATCCTTGATAAAACCTTGAATCTTATCCTTTGCTCTTTCCACCACCCAATGATGTCAAATATAGACTCCTCGGTGTGCACATAAAGACCTTCCTCAAGATAAATATCAAGTTCAGATTTCATCGTAGAAGCAAAGTTAACATTTTGAACCATGGAATCAAACCTTGCCCTTCCACTTCTTTTCTTAGAATTTCCAGTTGATGTACTAGCAGAGGGAGCTGTTTGAACATCACTTGCAGCTGATGCAACATTTCTAGCTCTGAAATCCTCAACAAACTCATGGAAAAGCTTATACAATTTATCTCGGACCATTCGAACATTCAACTCAGAATCTGCCGGAGTGTACAGATCTGGAAAGTATGCCTCGAGCATCTTGAATTTGTTCCTCGGATCCAAGACAGCAGCAAGGGAAACTACCAAATTAGCCTCACCCCAATATTTATCAAATTTCTTGAGCATTCGAGAAGCCATAGACCTCATACTTGCATGACTTGAGTCCAAAGTCTTTTTCAACAACAGTTTAATATCACAAAGCTCAGGAAGAAACAAATTGGCAGTTGGATAAGCACTTCCAGATATCATTGTTGTGACATCATTGAACAATTCAAGAAAGTCACATACAAGTTTAACATTTTCCCAATCTTCCTCTGATGGGAGAGAATGATACAAAGCGTCTCTTTCTTTATACAGAGGAAACACATCTTTCAACTCTAAGGCTGTAGACATCATGTGATAAGTCGAATTCCATCGAGTAGAACAGTCTAACACAAGCTTTTTGGCAGGCGACTGAAGTTTCTTAGCAATATCCCGAAATGTTGTAATTCGAATTTCTGAAGCAGCAATGTGTTTGACACTTTCCCTAACATCAGTAACTATGTCTTGAATCTCTTTCAAACCATCTTGCACCAATATATTCAGTATGTGAGCACAACATCGGATATGGAATATTTCACCACCAAGAGGAAGTGCACCTTGATAACTAAGAATGCCTTTCAAATTCTTCACAACACTCATTGTAAGAAGCATTGTCTACTGTGATTGTCCACACTTTTCTAGATATATCCCAATCAACCAAACATTTGTGCAATGCATCAGCCACAACAAGTCCAGTGTGAGGTGGTTTAACATGGCAGAAATTAAGAACTCGTTTTTGCAGCACCCAATCATTGTCCACAAAATGACAAGTAAGAACCATATACTGCACAGTCTGATTAGATTTCCACAAATCAGTTGTTAAGCTCATCCTATTCACCCCTTCAAGAAGAGATTTTATCTTTCCTTTAAAGATCTTGTACGTCTCAAAGACATCACTTGTAGCAGTGGAACGAAAAAAAAATTTATAGTGTGGAGTGCATGCTCTAATCAACTTGTTCAAGACTTCATACTCAGCAGCAGCAAAGGGTTGTTCATGGACTATGATGTAATGAGCCATAAGTTCTCGTACCTTAGCATGATCATATTTGAAGTTCTGGACAGCAAGAACACTATCATTAGTTTCCAAGCTTAGATGTTGTTATCCCTTCCCATCAGATTTCGGCTTCCTTGTACATCTTTGTATATGCCTCAAGAAATGACTCGTACAACCTGATGGGTTTTTATGTAATCTGGTTTTGCAATGACAACACTCTAGCTTGCTCACGCCTGCCACAACAACTTCTTTGAAATCCTCCCATGCTTTTGAAGTCTTCTTCCGCTTTTTTCGTTCATAAGGTTGTTGTTCTTCTTCACCTTGATTTTCGATCACTGGTTGAAGTTGGCCCTCTGGTTGAACTTGAACCGCAGCAGCAGGAACATTGTTATTAGCTAGATTTGCTGGCAACTCTTCTCCTGCCATTTCTTTAATGTTCTAGACCACAAAGATAATGATGTTAACTCATGTTAAGACCACAGCATACTTTAGTTTCTTCTTTATTCATTGATGTCTGTGTGTTTACACTACTTTAGTCCAAAATAAGAAAAACAACAAAACTAAATACAATAAACAAAGGAGAAAGGGGAAACATCCAAAGCTATTCAATTAAAGGTTTTGCAGGGATTGTAAAACAGGATAAACAATCACAATAAGTAATTAATTAATGTTTTTGTCCTTTATCTTAGCAAAGTATATCAGGAGAGAGCTCGTGAAATAGATGGCAATTGTTATTAAAATCAATAGCAAGCAGTAGAGAGAGTCTCCACTCTTAAACAAGTAAACTTAAACATCCAGAACCATATCCGTCAAGACTCTTTCTACTGTTATCCCCGTCGAAAGTCTAGGCTGGATTGGAATTGTGTTGCTCACCGTTATAGTAACAAGAGTAGGAGATCTACAATCTGCAGCACAAGAGATGAATGGAGGCGGTTTTGCGTGCTGGGACACCGATGTAAGGCTTGAGGATGCTCTCGGATCTGCGATGAGGGAAGCAAGGCGACGCAACAATCCGTAGCAGCGGAGACAAGTGCTGTGAAATCAAAGATCGTGGGCGAAGGATGACGGAGGAGAAGCAAGCATCTGCCGCTGAATCAAATAAAAGATGCGACCTCACAGAGACAAACTACAGCCGATGACTGAGGAGGTGCGATGACGGCGGAGGAGTACTAGGGTTCTTCATCTTTCTTTCCTTAGTCAATGAGTGAGGAAAGTGGAGGGACTAGACAGACGGGTTCTCTACTTAGCTTAAAAATTAATTATATATAATATTGTATTATTGAACAAATTAGTCCACAGTCCACCACCGTAACACTTTCGAGCCCGCTCCCAAACTTTAAACGAGCTGGTTCATGAATTAAATATAACGAGCCTTTGAGTCGAGCTAGTTCACGAACCTATCGAACTGAACATGTCATGGCTTGAGTTCGGCTCGTTAGTTAACGAGCATGTTCGCGAGCCGGCTCGGTTAACAACGAATCGAATACCGAACGAATTTTTTTCGAACCGGACACCGAGTCGTTCATGAGCGGCTTGGTTCATTAACAGCCCTAGTTGCTGCTGCAAAAATGGCTAATAGGTAAGAGACACATTTATTTTTTTTAATTATATTATGATTTTCTTTAGTTAATTAGTGAGTTTGTTTTTTTTTCTGTAGTGATTTTAGAAGATTTGAACTAGTCGTTCGGTGGAAATCGGAGAAAGTAGAGGATAATTTGGGCGTCAAATTCGTTGGTGGTAGTAGTTTTCAGTTGACGGTTCCATGCAGGGTGACATATCACAAACTTTGTGAGAATCTAATTCTGAGAATACGGCGTAGAGACGAAGCAGTACAAGATAGTGATGTTATCACAGGTTTCACTTACCATCTCCCACAATGGCAGAATGGTGTTTTATTTTATTATTCGATGCCTATTGTGGATGATGATAGTTTGAATGTGCTTTTCGATTTTATGGCACAAAACCCTTATTGTTTGGGTGCTGAGATACATGCTAAGCTCAGTGAGAATCGGGATGGAGAGGAAGAAGATACATGGAGCATGCCATCCGATCATGACGATGTTGACGGAGAGGAGGATGATGCGGAAGAGGAGGAGGAGGAAGATGATGAAGGAGAGCAGCCTAATTATCCTCCATATTTTTACTTGCAGGGTAATGAAGAGGATGACGAATTATCATATGCTGATTCATATGGCGTAATTCCAATGCATGTTGTTGCTAGTTTTGAAGGAGAATTCTACAAGGGGCAGATATTTCACTTGAAACAAGCTGCACATGTGGCGATTAAATACCACGCACTACAACTCAACTTTCAATATGACATGGTGGAGTCGTCACCTTCCATCTGGAAGGTCAGATGCTTGAAGCACAAGGATGACAATTGTCCTTGGATGGTGCGGTTTGGATGTCGAGATGTTGGAAGCGAATGGACTGTCAGAAAGGCCGAGTTGGTGCATTCTTGTAGCAATACGACTCAACCGACGGATCATCGCCATCTTGATTTCGATATTATATATGAGGCCGTCAAACATTTGGTACGTGGCCAACCAAATCTGAGTGTTCTAACTGTGCAGGCTGAGTTGAAAGATAAGTTTAATATGCAAGTTACTTACAAGAAGGCTTGGTATGGGAAACAAAGAGCATTGGAGAAGTTGCATGGAAATTGGGAAGAATCCTACGATTATTTGTAAACATTCTTGCGGGTGGTAAAGAGAAAAATGCCAACATCAGTGATTGATTGGGTAAGAGTTCCTTCAGCTGAACCAGGTCATTCGATCTTTCAGCGAGTACACCTCCCATCAGAGATAGAGCATAAGCTCATGCAAACTGTTTTGTAACCTCCTGGGATACATTTGCCGGCAGATGACTGAATTCATCCCTCAGCCAAACAATCCTAACGACACCGCCTGAAAGATCATGTAGAACCCATCCTAACAGTCTCAAACAGATCGTCGGCCACTCCTCATCCGGTATGTCAACTACGACGGCATCACCGTCGATCGCCAGACCGGACAGTGTCACAACGTCATCTAACGTGATCGTAACCTCACCAAACAGTAAATGGAAGGTCAACGTCTCAGGTCGCCACCGCTCTACGAGCGCAGTAATCAAACTCGCATCAGAGTTCATAGGGACTAGGGGGAAAACACTAGACAAGCCAGCCGCTCCAAGATATGGTTGATAACGCTCATGGTACGTGACTAACATGGTCGTACCTCGAACATGATAAGGTCTATCACCAGCCTATAGTGCACAAAACTTATATTAATTCAATTTCATTTGTAATAATTCTAATTTCACCTATTAAATTCTAATCTATCTAATCTAATCTAAAATTATACTAATTTTAAAAAAATTTGATACGTAATTCTATTCTAATTTCAGTACAGTTCAGTTCACCTACTAAAATAGTCTAATCTAACTAGCTAATTAACTTTATAGAAATAGTTATCAAATACTTACCTCGTTTGCCCAAACTGAGTCGATACGATGTTGACCATGTCCCCAAAGAAGTACTGGATCGACCGGAGTTGGATCAATTGTCGCAGGCGATAGTCTCATCGAACAACTGTCCACAAGACTAGGAACTGCAAAAGCAAAAAAAAATTAATAAAAAAAAACCGACTGCGAGATTACGGTCGTCGCCGGCGAGATGCTCACAGCGAAAACGGTCGCCGCCTCCGCGACTGCTTCCTCGTCCGACGACGACATCGAAACCAAGCAGTGGCACTGGCGCCTCTGTCTGCGGCGGTGGCGCCTCAGCTTGCGGTGGGGCCGCCTGCGTCTGCGAGGGGTGGCTTACGACGGCGGTATGGCGGGTCTGCTTTTTGGGAGAGTGGTGGCGTCGTTGTGGGGGGGGGGGGGGGGGGGTTGTGGGGGGGTTGTGTGTGTGGGAGGAAGAAGAAGAGGAGGGATTAAGAGGAGTGTGGCCGCTAGGGTTTTAAAAAGACGAGTTGTGACGGGGGCGCCTTAGTCTCAAGCGTCACCGCTTGGGACTTGTGTAAATAAATTCAAAAAGCGGTCCCAGTGAGTCTCTGGCGGCCCCACCTATAACTATACACAAATACACAATATTTGTGTAAATACTTTTTAATTCGCGGTAAATAAAAAAAAACAACATTTATGTAATTGGTCCGAAACCTTCGTCCTTCTTGTCCACCGCCTAATAATGCCAAGTTAATGATGAAAGTCTCTTGGCATTTGATGGTGATTAGGATTTTAATGACTTTGGCCATTGGTTTTTCAAGCCGCACTATTAGTATATTGTACTAAAATAGTGAGCTTGATTAATTTATTAGGGACGACTTAGGTAATCATGTAGAATATATAGGATTACACGAACAACCCTAACCCAACCATTGAAAACAACGCCCTCTACATGTCCATCAATTCATAGGCAAAGTGATAGATCACTTCTCAGAAAACTAGTCTACCTCTTTTATATAAAATTTTCAATTACTTTCTAAGAAAATGATCTATCGTTTTCATCAAATGGTCCACCTCTTTCGACAAGAGGTCAACCTAATGACACATGTACTTTCAACCTACACTCAATTGTTGGAAGTGGCAGATCGCTTCCGCTAAACGGTCTACCAATCCCGACAAGCGGTCTACCGCTTCTAGATAACGGTTCACACTTCTGGTGAACATTCAACCAAATGACATAATTACCGTTTACTTACATTAGGAAAATAATGGACGATAGGAGGCCTACAATACAAAATTATTTTGTAGTAATACAACATCCTATCACCCGTGGGCAACCAAATCTCTGCGCAGATCATAGGCCTAGATAAAAAGAAATAACATCCTCTTTTTAACACTTATGGAATAAAAGCCCATAAAATCAAGATGATATGAGATTTATGGACATTGAAATGGCACAATTGTATATCAATTATACTTTACTTTTTAAGTATCTTCATAACAACAATAGCAACAAAAATTATCTATCACAATTCACAAGACAACTATAGAATGAAAACAAGCAAACTTAGAATTTGAAGAAAAGATGAAAGTCTCTATATAGTAAGTTAAATAATAAAAAAGCAGAAGATTTCACAAATCTGCGAGAGAACAATCACTCAAGAAACTTCTCATCTATGTTCCACCGTTTGTACTAATTTTTAACTCTCCTGCTAGTAAACATATCGATTAATATTGGACTCCTCTAATCATATATGATTATGTTATTAGCAGTGCTTCATCAGGTCGACTAGTTGCTAGAAGCGGTGGGCCTCTTAATGAAAGAGGTAGACCAATTTCTTAGAAAGTAGTAGAGCGCTTAGTGAAAGAGGTAGACAGTTTTCTCCAAATCATCGTGACTTGCAAGTCACTGTAGCAAAGTCCTAAAGGATATTCTAGCATGGTGATCTCTACAAATTAAAGAATTTTTTTTTAAATTTTAATACAATTAAATACATTTACAACTTATTAGTATATACTTCTTAGAAGACGTGGGGCTTTTTACATTTGAAAAGAGAACAATGAGGGTCTTGTTAAATATCTTTGGTCCCGACATACTCCAATGTCTCTAGAAAAAAATGGTTGGGAAGCCATCTTCACTAAGAGCCTTGGTAGCACCCAACTGGAACAAAGTGGTTTGGATTTCCCAGTGATATTAAAATTGAGCCGAGCTGGCTGGTCGGACCACTAAAACCATCACCCGGTCACCAAACCAACTCGGCACAGTCTAAAAACCTCTACAGTTTTGTGTAGCGCTGGTGAACGGCCAAGACGGTTAACCGCTCGATCAGCTCAAACTGCCTAACCGGTTTTTAACTTCCTGACCAATTTTTTTAAGAGAATAAGAAAAAAGGATAAAGAGAGTCGCCGCCTCTGTTCGTCCGCATGAATTCCTCAGCCGCATCACCTACTACGGCGAACCCCACGCCGACAACATCTGCTAACTGCAACTTGCGTCTTTGCTTCCATCTACGTGCCAGCGGAGAAGAGGTTCTCATGTATGCATCAGCAGCTCCGCTGTTCCCCTGCACTCTATCGCCTGTTGCCTCTGGCTTCCATTTGCTCTCCTGTCAGCGAAAGGAAAAAGGGAGATGGATGGTGATACGATCGTGAAGAGGATGAGAGGGAAGATGAGGAGAATGCGATCTGATTCCCACAAGATAGGCAAGAAAAGGAAACAAAAATGAAAGGAAAGAGAGAGTGTGTGGACAGGGGCGGACCTAAGGCAAGGGAGGGTGTGTCGGAGCCGAGAATTTTGTGAAGGATCTATATATTTTCGGCACAAAAACTTTTAGTTCGGGATTTCCGACAATCATTCGATAGTTATAATCATTAAACTGGAAGAATATTATTATTTAAAATGAATCAATCTTAAATTTTAATTAACAATAATTCATTTTCAATTTGTTTAATAACTATTAATCCTATCAATTGTTATTAAAAAACCCACAGGCCATACCAATGTACATGTGTGTTGGGCCTGGTCCTTTCATTAAGGGAGAAACAAAAAAAAAAACCCCACCAAAGCCCAAGCGGCCATGGCCGAGACTACCAGTATCACTACAAAAAAGAGGAGGTTTGGGGACGGCAAAAGTTGTCCGCAAAAATAGCAAAAATCATCCCTATTACTAGGGACGACAGTCTTACCCGATACTAACATGTCATCATCTCGCTTCTTTTCCATCAAAGACAACATGTCGTCCCTATAGCTAACACTTTAGTGACAATAAGTCGTCCCTAAACATCAATCCCAGGGATAGACTGTCGTCCCCAATAATCAATTTCATGATTATGTTGGGCCTATCTGGGGTTAAGTTATCGTCCCCTTTTTTTATAGGGTTGACATGTCGTTCCTATAGGTATCAAACTGGAGTCCAAAAATCATCCCTGAAAATTTTGTTCAAGGACTACGAGTTGTCTCTTTTACTATATCTTTAGAGACGACAAGTTGTCGCGTATGAATTTTAGGGACGAACAATTGTCATTTAACTTATGTATATTGGGGACGCGGAAGGATGAGAATCTGCTTCTGGTAGTCAATCGACACTTCTCCAAGCCTTAACTGAACTCCAATGGTGATGAAAATTGATCTAGGGCGCTTGGAGACTTTGGTTCGTCGCTTTCTCTCTCTAGCTATCTGCTTTCTTTCTCTAAAATTCGAATCCCTCTAAAAATGGCCTTCTTTCCCTCAAAAGGGAGCAGATCGATACCCGGTCGTAATACCCGATCGGGTATTTCGGGAGGCCGGCCGGGTATTTTGAAACGCAACATCGTGGGGAAAGGGGAATACCTGATCAAGTTCTAGAATACCCGATCAGGTATTTAAGCATTCTGGCCGGGACCCCTTCTGCTTCCTCGCCTCCAAAGCGTGTTTTACCCGGCCTCCCTTCGCATTTTACCCGGTCGGGTATTTCAGCTCCTGACCGGGTATTTTCGTCTGACAGCTCCTCTGGATCCGGCCTTCGACTTTCCGACCCGAAACTCATTCCCACGCCTCAATATCCACGCCAAGTCCTGAAATATGACATAAACGAACAACCTAGCGTGAAATCGGCCTAAAACACGAGAATCGACTCTCAAACGGTTCAAGAAATGGTGGTCAAAACATGTGAAAATAATGGTTTATCAATCACACCTCCTCCAGGTTTTGCACTCGCTAAATCCTGCGCTTCTTTTCCCCTTTCTAAGTTGAATTTGTCCCCTTCCATTCTCTTTTCTTCAATGTGGCGCCTTTCCTCATCAATCTTCTTCCTCATTTTCTTCCCTAGACCAAGCATCCTCGCTCTTCGTAGAGATTGCGACCACTGAGAGATTGGTTGGCGGCAGTGGTGGATGAGTGAGAATTGAGTAGCAGTGGGAATGGATTGCTGGAGGCAGAGGGGGAGGAAGATGACAACCGTGGTGGTGGCGGCCATGGAAGAATACAATGAGGGGTGAGGTTGGGTCGGTGGGGTATGGGGATTAGTATAAGAGAAATTAGGTTTTTATTTTTATTTTTAATGAATTTGATAATGAGGTGGAAATTTAAAAATTATTTTTTAATTTCCACGTCACACTTTTAACGGTGAACCATAAGAGTTGACTGCCACGTAGGACAAAGTTAACGGACATGGACGAAGAGTGACCGTTGATGAAACGAGAGTACAAAGTTAGTGACCATAGATGGAATAAAATATTTTTTTAGATGAGAATCTAAAAATTTCATTAAGTACAGGCCATCGGCAAAAAAAACAGATGCCTCTCAAACAACCATATACAAGAGCTAATGAGCTACTATATCTAATAGAAAGAGAAGAAAACCTAGCTGTGAAACTTCTATACTAAGTCCAAGAGTCAAGAATTCTCTGCATATCTGGATCTCCATTCACCCTACATGTAACTTCACCTCACACTATACTACTGATCTTTAGAGGGGATCGAGCTGGCCGAGCACCATACATTCATAAACATAGCTCACGCCAAACATAGCTTAAAGAAACACACCAGGTGAGCGTGAGCCTACAAACTTTTGACTTAGCAGACCCTCCTCCCCATTACTTAACACACCAATCTACCAAAGGCTCCCACATAAGAAAAAGAGGGGGAGCATTCAACCTTAAACACTTCTACAACACACAGCCTGTACATGAGCAGTGCATAAATAGATAAACTTTGTTTTCCACCCCTCCTAGACACAATAAGCATAGTCCAGAAACAGGTTTTCCCCAACGCAATAGCTTGTCCTGAGTAGTCAGACGATCATGCATAGCAAGCCAAACAATAAATCCATGTCGATTTATAACTTCTTTCCCCCCATATCAGCTTAGCCCAAGACACCCCAGGGTCATGCTGCCTAATAGATTGCCAAACTTCAATAACTGAGAACATCTCCATCCATTCACCTTGCCACAGAACATCTGGCATCACTCTAGTAATAAATTGTGCAGCCAGACTTCTACACTTCAAAATCCTTTTCCATATCCACATCCCTGCAGAACGAGGAGTGACATTCCAAATGCTCTGCTGCTTCAAACGGTAACGTCTCACCCAAGCTACCCAAAGAGAGCCACCATTAGTCAATATATCCCATATGTGCCTTAAAACACAAGCCTTATTCAGATCCCAAAATTTTTAATGCCCAAGATACCCTCTTGTTTTGGTTTTGCCATCAGATCCCAAGCCATGACATCCTTTTTCCTTATACCATCCTCACCTGAATTCCAAAGAAATTCATTGCAGAGTTTTTCCAATTCCTTAATCACATACTGAGGCAGCAAAAACAAGTTAAGCGAGTATTGCAAAGTAATAGAGATGACTGAAGACACAAGTTGAATTGTTCCAGCATAGCTAAGAGTTTTTTTTTGTTCTCCAGAACCTCAATTTCTGAGTAATTCGATCAACTAAAACTTGGCAGTCTCTTCGAGAAAGCTTGCCCGTAAGCAGAGGGACTCCCAGATACTTCACAGGTAAAGAACCAAGTGGAAATTCAGAATAAGTCGATATATCCTCTTTTTCCTCTTGAGAAACCCCTACATAAAATAGTTGACATTTTGCTGATTGCACCTTAGACCAGAAATAGAATAGAATTTGTCCATCAAACGCCTAATTCCAGCAACCCCTCGTACTGAACCATTATTAAACATCACCAGATCATCAGCGAAGCATAAGTGGGTTATCTGAAGCGGTTTACACCTTGGATGAAAAGGAATCTGGTTATTAGCCACATATTTCTTCACTAAGCAATCCAAAAATTCCATAGCTATAACAAACAAATAAGGGGACAGTGGGTCCCCTTGTCTTAGACCTTTCCTAACTGAAATTTTGGAGTGCAGAAACGCGATTTTGAATGGATTCGCGAAAAAATCGTTATTAATTATCCGTTGGAGCGCGATTTCTCTGGAAAATTCACGATTCTATTTTACATGGATAGAGTGGAAGAGATGAAGAGTAACTGTCGACGGCGATGACTGTCGATTTGGGGAAGGAGATGGAATCACCGGTCGGGTTGATGGGGGAACCTAGAAGGGTTGAATCTGCATATGAAAGAGGCTTTCTTCATCATGGAGATCTTGAACTGTGGGGGAGGATATTGGCCGGCAGAGGGATATGCAAAGCCAACGAATGAGGAGCAGGCGGAGAGAGGAAATTGAGGCAATAGATGATCGGAGAGAGAAATCCATTGTTGGTGATTCTGCATGTAAGAATCGGGTAGTGGATTGATTCGGTACCGTTGTCTCTCCGTTTCGTTATTCCTCGGAGAAAACAATTGATTGAGAACCTTGCAGCGAGCAGCACAATGCCAAATCTCGATGTTTTATCTTCTTTCCATCCCCTTTAGCTTCTAACTTCGTGCTCATCACCAGAGCTGTAGTGCCCTCTCTATATTTAACCAATTGCTTCATATTTGATATGCTCGAAGGAAAAGGGAAAAGTTCTGTAGGGAGTGAATTATTGGTGAGAGAGATAGACATAATATTTGGTTTGATTATTAGAAGTGGGGGCGGGTTGTAGAAGACAAAAGTACTATGAGGTTTTTAACCCAAGTATAAGGTTTATTTGGATTTTCTTTTTCTTAAGTTTATTTTTCCTTACATGATGATATTTGGTAAGCATGTGATAGTATATTGATAATATTTAAATTAAAATAATATAATATTAACTTCCACACTCCGAATATATAATTCTTTCAAAGTAGACGCTTCCACGCTCTTGCTCCCACTCCATGAATCGGTATCCTAACTTATATAAGAGGAGTAGTGATACGACCTTTAACCAATTTCACATAACCATAAGGAGAGTCCATAGCAGCCATCACATTGAATAAAAACCCCAGTCAACTGAACCAAAAGCCTTCATGAGATCAATCTTAACAGCACATCTAGGAGTGATTACTTTTTTGCAATGTTGTCAAAACCGAGCCGGAACATGACTCGATAATGTGAACGACACGCACTTTAGTGGTCCAACCGGTCTTGAACCATAAAAAACCCCATTAGAAAACCGACTCCTTATAAATAATAATATTATAAGTAGAATACATATAAGGTAGTATATTAATAATTCAGTGACTAAAATAAAATTTACTTTAAAGATACCACTTAACAATTTTACATTATAAATATAATAAATTAACAACTAAAAAGTAAAAAACCCTACTCTATGCACCCCATCCAACAACAACCACACTCTGCACACACCTCTCTCTATTTTTCAATATCTAACAAATAAAGAACCAAAAAGGCAAAAAGTGAAAAGCAAAAAACCCCACTCCAAACCCTCTGCCAACGTCAGCGCCACTTATCTCTCTCTATCCTCAATTTCTTCCTCCCTCTTCTTTCAAAACACACGAACCAAAATAAACCACCCAACAATCATCTCACCTTTTACTTCTCATCTGATGCTCTGGAATTGGATTCTTATAATCCTTCACTATAAAGTATAAACGATCGACCTCCATCACCCTCTTTGTTTCATCTCTTGATCTGGCTCTGTCACTCTTGAAGGATGGTGGAGACAATGACGATGGAGGATAGTTATCGGCCACCGAAGCCTTTTTGCTTGTGAGCATATAGTGGCTTCAAACCCAACATTATTTTAAAGCAGATGGGTCATGTGCCAAAAACCGGCCGAGCGGTTCGTGCGGCTCGGATGATTAACCGTCCGGCCACCCAAAAACCGTCCTTCTGGGGGCCTCCGATTATTTGAGTGTATCGAGTCGGATTGACGACCGAGTGTCGGTTTTACCAGTCCGACCGGCCGGTCTCACTTGGTTTTAATAACACTGCTTTTTTGTGATAATCTCTCACTTATCAGGTTAGGCAAAACTTTAGTCATCCGATTTGTAAACAACTTAGAAATCCCTTTATACAAGACATTGCAACAAGATATGGGTCTATAGTCTTTCATATGTTCAGCACAGGGTACTTTAGCAACTAAAGCAAATATAGAAGAATTTACTATAGAATATAAGTGACTAGTAGAGAAAAATTCAGAATTACCTCTTCCACCTCTTTGCCAATGATATCCTAGTGAGCATTGTAAAACTCCACTGGAAAACCATCATGTCAAGGGGCTTTGCCCTTTCCCATATCCGAGTATACATTTCTAATTTCCATTCTTGATACCCCCTTTATAAGCTCTTCACAATCAGCTGCACCTAAAAATAAGCTACTGGATGCTGTTGGACATTTGGATCTGCAGATCCAATCAGTTTAAAATAAAAATCCACAACAATTGATCCAATGCCTTGTACATCAGCCACCATGTTTCCTTGAGAGTCAAGTAATCTCGTAATCTGCTGCTTCTGGGTTCTAATTTTAACATATATGTGAAAAAGGAAGTATTGGAATCCCCATCTTGAATATACTGAAATTTAGATTTTTGCTTAAAAAACAATTCTTTAGCTTTCGTCATCTCCTGATAAACCAAGTTAACTCTCTGGTCCTCCTCAACAAGATGTGGGATAGGATCTTGAAGAACAACACTATGAGCTTTCTCAAGAGCAACTCCGGCCTCTCGAACTCGACCAGAAATATTTGGGTAGATCTCTCGGTTAAGTTTCTTTAAACCAATTTTAGCCTTGGCAAGCTTACTGTAAAAGACAAAGTGTGGATATCCACTAAATGGTTTCTTCCATGGCTCTTTAATGATAGACAGATACTGAGGATGAGATTGCCAAAACAGAAAATATTTAGATGGCTTAGGCAAGCTATGCAACTGGGGGGCATTGTGCAACAACAAACCACAATGATCTGAAATCTGGTGGGGGGGGGGGGGGGTATGCTGAACTGACAAGAAAATATCAAGTCAGGGTTCATTGACAAGAATTCTCTCAATGCTGCGAGCAAGGGTTAACTTTTTGCTTGTTCCACCAAGTAAACCAAGACCCTGCAGTCTTATGGTCCATATCCTCCTTTTCCTTCAACCATTATACCCAAAAATCCAGCATACTAGTAGTAATTAGCTCCACATTAGAGGCTTCATTGATGGCGTTAAAATCTCCCATTATGACCATAGGTATAGTACCCTCTTTAAGCCGTAGCAATTCCCTATAAAAATCCTTCCTCTCCACCTCTTTATTAGGACTATATACAAACAATATAATGAAAGGAGACTGCTCAACAACCAAGATTTTCATATAGTGCTCACCTTCTTCCATGCATGTGATTTTCAATCAAGGTTTCTAGAAAATCCTAACTCTCCGAGACTTAGACTTAATATAGTTATCCATATGTTTCCTAGCCGAAAAAATACCCTTTGTTATTCCTTTGCTATTACCTTCTAACACTCTTGTTTCAAACAGACCAACTATATCTACATTTAATTTTCTTAGTTGTTTTAAAACAACTAAGTGCTTATCAGGAGCATTGAAGTCCCTGACATTCCAGCTCAAGATATTCATTTACCTATCTTCTCCCCCTACCTCGACCTCTTGGGAGAGAAGGGAGAGGATCTACATTCCTACTACCCGAACGACTCTGCTGCAGTCTTGGAAACGATTGCTCATCCAATCGAGACCTCCTAAAACCCTGATTCACACCTGATGGCCCAACTTTAGTCTTCTGTCGACGATTAACCACCAAAGTAAACCTATCATCAGTAATTAACCCTGCTTCTGGTGGCGGAGTAACAGTTTCCACCCGCCTCAAAACACCAATTGTCTCCACCCAACCTTCAACAAGATCCATAGCCAAACTCTTTTCTTTAGCAACTTCCTTCACTTTGGCAACCTTGTTAGGAACAACCTCACCAATAACGGTAATTCTAGCCTGCCAAACTCGCTTACTGGGACCCATAGGAATCGAACAATCATGCCCAAAACATCCACACTTCGCATAAACCCTAGGCAAATTACAGTACTCCACATCCACAAAAATTTCAGGCAAGCCATCCGGAGTAATATTGAGTTTGGTAACCCATTTGATTAAGGACTTAACCTCAATACAGATATGAGCAAAACCCACCTTCCTACCATTTCTCTTTGAATTATCCATACAAAGAGGCTTCCTCGAGGAACTTGCAACCCTGCCTAAACCAACTTAGGACGTGATCTCAGACAGAAGGTTGTAAAGATGAACCCAGATAGGCAGCATTGTTTTATAAATAGCAAGAGGACTGATGCATAACTCTAATCGACGAAGAAACACAAGATGATGCCAAGGACCATTCTAAAAACCCATTGACAAATCTCAGCATTCAAAAATTGTAACAGAAGAAGCTTCTAATCCATCCACGAGACCTGAATTTTTCCATCCTTCCTTCAAATCCAGTTGGCCCAATAACGAATCGAAGAGACCGAGGCTGGACGATCGATGAATTGGCCTACAAGACTATGTTCCCATCTCTTGGAACCTTCTTCAATCACCTCCTGAGGGGTCCTCAATGAACCATTTACATACTCTGGCTCATAGTAGTCTAGCCGATTATCCTCATGGAATAAAATATTTCTAGTGACCAAACGTGAACATTTTTAGTAATCCCAGTGACCAAACTTGTCATTTACCCTTTTTTAATTATTATCGTATTTTATCGACTACACACCTCTTTTTGTTGATCTCCAAGTATTGTCTTTGATTTGAGATTTCATCACCCAAATATCCTTCCTTGTGATTATGAGCTATCCTCTTCAGGATTTCCAAAAAAAATTATCTAACGCCAGTCACTAAGGTTGATGATATTTATTTAGACTTCTTTATAAGATACCATACTCCAATCTCTCTAGAGGTTTGTCGTACAATATCCCTACTTTCTTCCTCCTTCGGCCAAAATGACTTAAATCTAAAATAAGTTCCCCGTTTAATTTATTCTCCTTTATCTCCTTTTAGGTCCATGACAACGGGAAGATGGTGAAAACCACTTTGATTGAAAACCCCTACACATAGCCTGTATTTTCTCTACCTTCATGAAGTCTCCTCAAAAGCTCTTGTGTACGAGAATGATTCCCACTTTCAAGTTATCCATACACACTTGTGAATCGCCACCATCTTCTGCTATCATCCCCCTCAATTTTAGAATCAAAGTGGTTTCGAGAACTTGACTTCACTTCCAACTTAATTTTCTTCTTCCATAAGAGGTAGAGACGCCATGTTTCCTGACATTCGCAACTCGTTCGCCATCGTAAGAAACTTACATAATCTGCACCTTTCCCAACCATCCTCTGAAAACTTTGTTTCTATAAGAAACAAAAGTTTGGGTTTGTGGAATCTAACAGTTGATTCTAGAGAAGAAATTGCCTCAAAATTTACTAACCATTGGCAGTTGGGACTTAAATGATTCATTGTTGTAGGCGGCTCTGCAACTCGGTAGGGTCCACCTCTAATTCTCCGAGTTTGTTGTTGGTATTGCTTATATAATTTTTCCCACCCTTGTGAGAGCACATAACTCTTCTTAATCAAACTCCATCTCCTCCCCGTTCCTTCTTTTCCCTCCCACTTTGACTCATTGCTTATTTGTTTATACAATAAGAGGCATAAACAATCTCAACTCTTTTATCCTTTATAAAATAACACAGGACAAAGAATGTGCTCTCTCATATGGTTTGGAAAAAAATCTAAGAAGAAAGCAAATCTTCCTTCTCATGTGACTCATCCATTCTTTTAGACTTTGGAATTAATTTTTATTATATTAAACACATAATCAGAACCAAATAAATTAATTTTCTATGTTTTAAATTTATAATTAAAACTCAATACTCCACATAATTAATAAGTATTATACATAATGGAAAACCTGGATCGGAGTCCACGAATAATATGGGTTCCCTATGCAGGAGGGCCTCCCGCACACCCACAGGGTAGGCCCTGGCTCCGAGATCATATCCCTGATAACGAACATTTGATGAGCAATGGAGTCTTCTTATAATATGGGGACAAAGCTTTATTGTAATGGCCACTACACATGACCCTACAACATGCATGCTCATCAATTGGGTCATAGTTCAGGCATATCGCGACACTTTGTTACAAGAGTCAAACCACTGTAATAATTAGGGAAATTTTGGGCTTGCACATCTTTTTTGTTTATTAATTCGGTTGAATTTATGTTGTTTATATGCTCTAGTAGGATATGAATTGCTTTCTAGTATTTTCTTAGGAATAGATTTTATGTAGGAGAAGGTTACATATTTTTGGTAGGAAAGGAAAAGAGGGTCGCACCAGAGGCCGAAGGAGAATAATTTTTGGGGTTCTGTGCCTATAAATATGTACTCCTTTTCTAGTTTAATGTCACTGGATATTATAACCCAATTCATGTTTCTTGTTTTGTTATTCAACTAATAGTTTCGTAGTTTGAGGTAGTTCTTGACATTAAGAACATCCTCTACTCGAGAGCGTTGAGCAACATATCCAAAGTTCGCGAGAAGGATTTCTATCGAAGAAATCCACTTAATAAGTGGTATCAGAGCGGGCTTGGCACTGAATTTGTTATGTCAATTTTCACGAAACATCCAGCGGAAGAGGGTTAATGCTCTATGGAGCTGCAGTTATTGGGAAGACCCTTATGCTCGAGAGGAAAAAGGACCCCACCACCAGAGTTAAACCCATCTACAAAAAATCACTACCCTTTATCATATCCGACCATGTCCTATTAATCGCCACCATCATGTCAATACTTCTACTGTTCTACACACATCATCATCAGTTCTATCATCATCATCATCATCAGTTCTATCATCTTCAACCTCGTTAGTAACAATTGTATCATTGCCAGTCATATATATGTCCTCTACCTATCATCCATCACTGACATCTCAATGCTTCTACGCTCAAAACTAGAAGGAACCGAGGAGTTTCAAATGGTACCACAACAAGGTTGGGGCCGACAAACCCACAACCAGCTACTAAATCGGGGTTTCGCTGCTAAAACATGGGCAACCACAAGGGCAAACGACAAGGATCATGGTCTGCAAAACACGGGCAGGTGAAGATCATTTAGCGACTGGGGAAGACACTAGAGGCAAAACATAGGCAGGTGACTCAACCTTAATTCACCACTTTAAAACTCCCTATTAAGGCCCAAGTATAAACCTTAACCGGGTGCAGTACAACGCAAGTATGTTTAATTATCGACCCGAGCTGGTTCAGGTACCCCTACTTCGATTGTTTGAAACATTATCTAGTTGTCGGTTTTGGTGAAAACAACAATCTATAGCTAAAGCGGTTGCAAAAGTAAAAGGATTTGACACTAATTGAGAAGGCTTCACTCGGGTATTGCTCCCCCTTGCTAGCAATTATGTATTGATGGATCGAATGAGCGTGTGTGATGCGGGAGTTGTAAACCATAGGGAAGCGTAACAAGTAGTCAATGTCACCCTCTTAATCTCTAGGTTGAGGGAAGGGGATACGATCCAAGCCACCAACGTGACTCTCTCGACCTATTGACTAAGGATTGGTTTGACTTCACCCTCGAATCGGAGTTCGGACGGCCACCCACAACCAAACCCTAGGTGCTAATACAAAATAGGAGGTTTGCCCTGCATTAACCTAACTAGGTGACAATGAATTCCCTAAGAAAACCCAACATTCAAGCCTCTTTCAAAGAAAGGAAGGGAGTTTTCTCTTTACCTAGGTTAGAATGGCAATTAGATTGATAGGCTTTCATACAAGTGAAATAAGGGACTACTCCATGCTAGGAGAAGGGAAAACACAAGAGAGAAGAAGAAAAACTATCAAAGAGATGCTAGCCTTGCTCCTTGTGTTGAAGAGAATGGAAACCTAGCTTCTTCTCTTCTTTGGTTCGTCACTTTCTCACTCTAGAAATCTGAAGAAGAAGTTTCTCAAACTAGGTCTCTCTCCTTTTCTCCTATGGCTCAACCTCCTTTATATACCCAGATCAGGCTCAGTTCATGGTCTTAGTTCACGGCTGTGAACTGAAAGCACAACCCGTGAACCAACGATGAAACGCGTCGCATCACTTATCTCTGTTCACGGACGGAGGTCAGAGTTCATGGTCCTGTCCAGTGAAAACCCTTTTCTCTCTGGATGCGTGGCACTTTGCGGGGATCGCCTCTAATTCACGGTCTTAGTAACCGTGAACTCACAGTCCAAACCGTGAACTGCTGCTGTTTCCACCGTTTGACTTGATCTTTCGCCCTTTTGTCCAACTTTCGACTCTGGGGTTGGTTCCACCTGCCAAAGTTTGAAAAACACGAAAACAAGGCACAACCTGGCATAAAACCAAACCTCCCGAAGTAAAAATGTTTTAAACGACTAAGCAAACCGGGGGGTAAAAAGTGTACAAATGAGCTCGAATCACTCCCCACACTTAGACTTTTGCTTGTTCCCAAGCAAACCATTTTCAACCTAGGTGATATCTCAACCTAACAAGATAACTTGGGGACAAATCAAAAGGCACAAAGCGGTGAATCTCAATGACTATTTGGGAATCAACACATGAACCGTCTCAAACAATACTGGCATCCACCACAAACGAAATTCTATAGCATCAAGAATGGGCAAATGAAAAGTTCTCACCTTCTTCACAAATCAATGCAAGTATCGACCGGGCTACTCACCAACCACAACTAACCATGCATAGAACTCAAGTCCAAGGAACAGACAACGGGGGAACATAGGTCCTCACCGGGGTAAGATATGAACATGCAAAACAAGAATGAATCACTCACTCTCGACCAGTGGGGTCAGGACCATTTTGGTGCAAACTATGTGCACATTCATCAACACTCAACCCTATCGTCTCTCCACCAAGGCGGAAACCTCTAAATGCTAGACTACACGGGACGGTTGTCATCAGTAGCTTGTCTGGAGGTCTTAGACACGAGTTCAAATGACTGGCAATTGTCTTGGACATGGGGAAAATGATTTTTTGGTGGTGGTAAACATGGCATGAGGTCCTACATCTTCAACCTAAACCCAAGGTTCTATGGTATCGACTAACAACCTTTCCTACAAACAAATGCCACTAGCATCAGCCAAAAACCACACTTCCCTTCTTCCAAACCACAACCAATCACGAACTACATTCAAGCACACATCTCCAGCCTAACTTGCTATTCACATTTCAAACCTAGTAGTGAAGGAGGTCATCAAACAATCTAGGTATTTCAATGGCTTGAGTGCCATGAAACCTTTTCTAGAGCATACACTTTGACTTTTGACCACTCTACTTTTATTTACCCCATTTTATTACCTCTTTTCGTTTTTTTTTTTTTTGCTTTTTCTTTCTTTTTCTCTTTTTTCGAGGGGGTACTATATAGCTAAACACATGTCACATCTTTCACTTAACGAACAATTATGTCCATTTAAGAACTTTCCTCCGACACTACCTTCTTATTTCTAGCAAGAACCATGCAAAACCACCTACGTAGAACCTTAATAGAGATAAAAAGCGAGAACTCCGAGACACAAGGATGACTCACACTTTGACACAAAGAAAGGATGGGTGGGGGAAGTTCTTTCAATCAAAATTAAGCTCAACAAGCACGAAGCTCCTAACATTAGAACGACCCCCAAAGTCACACGACTCAAAGGGGTTGACTAGGGGATAAAATATTGTGGGACAATCAACTTTTGGGCGTGGACTAATCCTATCCTCCATCATACACGCTAGTGACAATGGTGAATGTTACCCACTGTGGCGATAGGGATTTATCATACATGAAAAAGTCGATCGGCACAAAACTCACATGGCTACCTAGCCGCCCAATCATCTATACCATTTTCAAAAACATCAACACATGGCAATCGTAATCAAGAAGTAACCAAGTCAAGACATCCATTTATTTAAGCACACATGAGAACTAAGCTTTTGCACAACCCTAATGCACTCTCAGTCATCATAATAGGATGCACTCGATTACATGTAACAATTCAAGATCGATGCCAAATAAGCACGAGATTCACCCACCAACCGGCGATCATGCATTGCTTGGAGCCCTCAAAATTTTCAAATTTGGGCATACATCAAGGCTCCAAGCATTCTCTCACACATGCAAGCATAATAGTAAACTACCCCCCCCCCCACACACACACACACTTAAGCTCGACATTGCCCTCAATGGCGTAAAATAGGGGGTAAAATGATGTTACTGCATGGCTTGGTGAATGAAAGTTGGAGAAATTCCTGGGGTAGGATGTATGAGCTTCAAGGGAGAGACAAAACAAAGCACAAACATACGCACATTCTCGCTCGAGGCGAGGTTATTACACATAACAAAGTTTCACAATACGATTCAAAATAAAGAACTCACAAGGTACTAGTTCACACAGTAATTAAGGAGAAAATAAGAAGAAATATAATAATAAAAAGTTCATAGTTTGCAAGTGGAGAAGTGGGGCGAAAGAAATTGCCTTTGCCACATGTCTACCTCGATGGCTACCTCATCGTGGCAAGCTCACTCCTCGTCATCCGAGAGGACGTCCTGACGTCGAGCCATCCTCTCTATGAGATCGGCCGTTCGGTCGAGTCAAGCGGTGACTCCCACATAGTGTGCCTCGAGGCGATCCACTCGCTCCTCGAGGTGGGGTCCGGAGGTAGAGGGTCTGGCCCCGAATGATGATGATGATGATGATGATGATGATGATGATGCAGTTGATGATGGTGGTGCTGCAATGAGCCGGTGGTGGGCAGGAGCTCTGATGGGTGGCTTCTCCTGGGGAGGAATCTCTGGTGGGAGGGAGAGTCCCTCAATAAAGCGAAATGGACCGAAAACTCGAAGCAACTTCATGGCTTTTAAGTTTTCCACCCCAAATCTCGTGAAGTGACCATCTTTTATGCAGCACCCGAGGTTGACATTGAAGTGTCGAGCCAGGTGGGTGATTTAGGGGCCCAAAGACGTGATGTAGGATCGATTGCCACTAATAGCCCTACTGAAAGAGGTTACCAGAATCGAGCCAAGGTGAAGTTGACTTGATGGGTCCGCCATGGAGGTGAACGCTAGCAATGCTCTCACGGTGTTCTTGTTTGCGCACATGTAGCTTGGGTAGAGATAATGAGCTAAGAGTGTGTTGATGATACGCCATTGCAGCTTGAGCGTAGATGCTGAAGTGCGGGGTCGAACAAATCGAGTATGGCGCATCTCCTGGAGGCAAAACTTCTTGAGAGCGGATTGCGCGTTGAAATCTTTAAGGGCATCCACCTCCCATAATTCCTTTGACCTCTCCGGGACTCCCGTTGCTTCAACAAACTAGTTGAAAGACAGTCTTCGAGGCACACCTCCCAAACAGAAACTAACGAAGTGAGTCGGTTGCCTCATTATGTCGGTCTCCTTCAGGAAGCAGAATGTGCTGAAGAACTCTACACACAGCTCCGCGTAGATGTCGTCTTCCAACTAGAGAAGCTAGCGCCATTGTGGGTGCGCCACAGCCTCCCGTATGATATTTCCATAGTGAAGGCCATCGAACTGAGTGAAGTCGAGTTTCCAGTGGACTCCAATCCAAGACTGTGCCCAAAACCTTGCTTCCTTTTCAACTTTCGCCCACCTTCTGAGCTCAATCAATGACCGGTGGCTCAAGTCAACCATCCTACAACAACACTCAATACATACACCATACATGGAAATAACTTTCAATTTCACCTCAAGTGGAGAAAAGATTTCCCCCACACTTAGGCTTCCACTATGGTCTTGTGCCTTGACGGCTTTCACAAAACTGGCTTTTGGACAACTAAGCTTAAATGCACACAAAGCTCACTGAGGCATGGTTCCAGGTGATTCACGAAGTATCCACACAGAAAAACAAACCTAAACCATGACTCGATGGCTTCCAACCATCAACTACAAGCACTGATCCACATTCATTCATATTTTTGCACTTGGTGGGCAATTTTCACATTCATCTATAAATTGTACCAAAATTTATGCCCACCAAGGCTTAACTAAGTTCATGCAACATCAAACATCATAAAAACACATTAGTCAGCTAATCCCTTGCCCAAATTTCTATAGTCAAGCATCAATTCATAAAAATTCACCTCACTTCACACCCTAACCCGATTCTCCAGCAATTGATAAGTGAAAAGGTTGGAAAAAAAACCTGGAGACTCAAGTAGGGTCGAGGTAGACGTGAGGAAAGGGAGAGGGAGCTGTAAAACTGGCCAGAGAGGGGTCACCGGAGCCTCGTCGAAAAAAAACTAGCCTCAAATCTCCTCAAACTTCAGGCGAAGGTGCGCCTAGGTGAGATGAGAGTGGGTATGTATTTTGTTTTGGGTTTGGAGGTCGGAGGTCGCTGGGATATACAAAAATTGACGGAAAATCTCGATTTCCTGGCGAGTTTTTTAATTTTCCGGTGAAAAGGGGCTGTCGTGAAGTGATCTGAGTCGTTCACTCCCCTTTTATAGGCAGAACCCTAAGTTCATGGACGAAGGTGTCAGTTCACGATCACTAAGACCGTAAACATAACACCTAGACCGTGAACTAGGGTTAAACGATGAGTTTTGAAAACAGGGGGAGCACCCTCAATTCACGGACGGAGGCACCACTTCATGGTCATTAAGACCGTGAATTGGAAGCCAAAATCGTGAACTGAGTGAAAAACAAGGCACTCCCAACAATTTTTGACTCAATCTACTCAACTGTGCCCCTAATCCAATCACACCACATTCCAAAACACGAAAACACAGAGACTTGGCACGGTGATACCCCAAATTCAACACTTGAACTCTTCACACACACAAAAAGAGAAAAATAAGGAAAAGAAAACAAATTATCATTGGGTTTCCTCCCAACAAGCGCTAGTTTAACGTCACTAGCTCAACATTGCATATCTATCATGCTTTAGTGCATGGAGCCACCGAGAGTGGATCCGCCACGATCTCGGGGCGAGGCTTGACACCTCCTTCCTTTAGATCCTTAGGGTGGCTGTCTTGACTCGACATCTTCGCCTTACCCTTATCTTTTGGTCGGGAGGAGGCTTGATCAAGCCTATCCCTCAACACTCTCTTCTTCTTTCCTCCGGGTTTAGCACCCGCCTTGATGTCCTTCACCTCATCATCAAATAGAACATACACACAAGTGGGATTTGCCTTAAGAGGCTCACCTCCACTTTCATTCATACCACTCAATTCCAATTCTTCCACCACATCATTCTTAACCTTAGGATCAACACCCCATCTCTCATCTTTCAACACCAAAGTTCCCTCATTAACATCGATTAAGGCCTTGGCGGTGGACAGGATAAAATAAATTGCCAAGTCTCACTAGGACATCCACCACAATACCCCTAGGATTAATGACAGAGTGATCGGCCAATGTGACGCCAAGATTAGTGACCTTCAATTCACCCAAATAAAACTTCTTAAAAAGCTTGTAAGGCATCACATTAATGCATGCTCCTAAGTCCGCCAAGGAATTTTCCATATGATGAGTTCTAATAACATCGTATTTGCACATGTTTGCACCCTCGTTTCTTGATCATTTTGGCTTGAGTTTTTTCTTTCTTGGACTATTTTACACTAGGTTGTGTTCCTTTGTCACATTTCAGGTCCTAGCATGTAAATTGAAGCATAGGACAAGTTTCAAGTCAATCGGAGATCATTTGGCAATTCGGGAGAAGAAACACTAGCATGACCTGAGGAATAATGGACTTCTAACTCATATTATGGACAAATAATCATGTAATTTTGTTATAAAAAGAAAGAGGACGAGACTACAAGCGTCTGGGATCAAACGGCGACTGATTCGGAGAGGGGGTCGACTTTTTGGAGCAAAAACAGAGTTTTAGAGAGAGAAAGTGCAAAGAACAAATCCAAGGAGCTATTTGGAGTGGATTTCTCACCATTGAAGCCAAGATTGCATCCCCAGGAGTGAAAATTGACATCCCGGAGAAGATTTTCCTCATTTATGAGTATGACTACTCTGATTTCTGTTTTCCTCTCTCTCTCTCTCTCTCTCTCTCTCTCTCTATGGAGTAGAATCTTCTCTCACTTGGGTATGAAGAACCCTAGTTCCATGTGTTAGGGATCTTGATTGTAATGACTTGGGAATGTTATACTGTTTGGTTTTAATCGAATGATGCATGATTCATTGAATCAATTGAAGTCTGATCATCTTTTCTTGATTTCTGCTACAACCTGAGATAGATAGAATCTAATTAGGTTGTTAGAGCTTCATCATTCGGTAGTGGTAGATTGGTTATACGAGAGTTAATCAATCTACTGCTTTGTACTGGAACCCAATTCCAGCAGTGGAGTTCTGTGCTTTTGCCTCAGTTTTCTATCCCGGTGAAGACTAGTCATTTGCCGGGTAGTTGGACTGAGAGGGCTTGGTCAGCTTAAGAGATTCCAAGCTACTGTTGGATCTTTCGCAGTTTAATCAACAGTAAATCAACCCAGGGTAATTACAACTGAGACCTAACTAAGGAGCTAGGGGGACTCATTCCTGAGTGACTCTTCCTTTAGAAAACTGAATCTTTTCCTGCTTTCTTACTGCTTTTAGTTAAAACCACAATCACTCGACTTAGTTTGCTAGATAATAGATACTCACAGAGTAGGCGGTAGATCTAGATCCCGGGTTGATAATTAGTACTTGCCACTTTACTGCATTCTCGGACTGCGATTACACTTGGTCGCAGTTTGGTGTTGTGTTTTAGCGTGTCAAGTTTTTGGCGCTGTTGCCGGAGACCCTCTAGGTTATTGGGGAAACGTGAAAGTTTGTTAATCTAGCTTTTTCTTTCCTGCATTTTCTCTCTTCCACCTGTGTGCCTTCACGGGTTGCATTTACAGACTGTGTGCAGGTAGTGCATGACTCGTAGCCAGTCGGGGGATTTACTACCGTTAGATCAAGAGCTTGAACGGACTTGTAGGAACTTCAAGCGGGCGTTAAAGGAGCGACTGGCTGCGGAGGAAGCTCTTGCACATTTGCAAATCGCCAAGGAGGAAGAGATGGGTGACCCACAGGACCATGATGAGGTCCTTCCCGAGGAGCAAACCATGGGCTACTACTGGACCGCCCGCGCTACAGACATGAGGTCTCCCATCCAACACCCTCAAGTTGGTGCCAACAACTTTGAGGTGAGTACCTCTGTCATCACCATGTTGCGCGGCTCGGAGGTGTTCCATGGCAAGGAGGGGGAGTGCCCCCGATCACACCTGAGGCGATTCCACGAGCTCATCGATGGGATCAAGATAAATGGGGTCCCAGTCGATGCCATCCAGCTGAGGTACTTCCCATTTACTCTGGAGGGGCAAGCCAAGGAGTGGCTGGACACTAGGCCTCCCGGATCAATCACCATGTTCGCCAACCTGGCGGATAAGTTCCTCACCCGCTATCATCCTCCCTCAAAAACGGCGGACTTGCAGAAGCAGATCACCCACTTTATTCAGGATGAAGATGAGACCATCTGGGACGCATGGGAGAGATACAACAGTCTCTTCCTGAGGTGTCCCAATCATGGTTTCAATGATGCTTTCAAGGTGGGCACCTTCTACCACGCCCTCTTCCCAGAATACAAGCAGCTGATTGACTCGGTTTGTGGCGGGAACATCCTGACCAAGACGCCGCCACAATTGAATCAGCTCTTTGAGGAGATGTCAGAGAAAGGGTATGATTGGGGCACTGCTAGGAGGTCGAGGCGAGCACCAAGCCGAGGTGTACATGTTGTGGGCACCCACTCTTCTGATTTGGTGCAAGTTGTGTCTAAACTGGTCTCAACCATCGATCGGAATGGGATGGTTTCGGGGATAGGGAAACAGCCGGCAATGCGTTGCCAGTGGTGCGAGAGCGCCCATCATACTGTAGAGGACTGCCAGGCCATGCGGGATTCCAGTACACCCCAGGAGAAGGTGAACTTCATCAACTATGTTCGGCACAACGACCCATACAGTAACACCTACAATGAGGGATGGCGCCAGCATCCAAATTTCTCCTGGAGTGGCAACAGCAATCCGAAGCAACCTGGCTTCCAAGCTCCTGCAACTAGTTTTCCGAACCAGAGGCAGCCATACCAGCCTCGCCTAGGACAGATGCAGCATCAGCAACCACTTTATCTGCCCAGACAGGGGCAGGCTTTTCAACAGCCCCCAGAGCAGCAGTACTAGCAGCCTAGTGCATCTCCATCATTCCCAGCACCGGGTGATCCCGTGTTAGAAGTGAGGGATCTAGTGACTACCTTGGCGAGCACTAGTACCCAAAAGTTCAATAAATTGGAGCAATTCATTGAAGTGGCTGCAGGCAAATTCATGGAGATTGAAGCTGGCCAGAGAAACCAGCAGGCACTCTTGCAGGATATGGACACCAAGATCGAGCACCTGGCAGATGCCCTTGCTTCCAGACCAGCTGGCACACTTCCTGGCCAACCCTTGTCGAATCCCAGAAATCTTAAGGAGGGGTTGCATGCCATTATGCTAAGAAGTGGGATTGTGACTGCGGATGCACTGCAGAAGAGTGCCAAGAAGGTGACCCAGATCACCCCTGAGCCGGAAGAAGACCTGTTGATGGAAAAGGAGCCAGAGGATCAAACTCCAAAGACACAACCAGTAGTGGCTTAATATAAGCCTAAGCTCCCTTTTCCCCACCAGGATTCACAAAGACAGGCTAGAGGCAGAGTTCGGCAACTTCTCGTCCATGCTTAGGAAGCTGCATGTTCAAGTGCCCTTCATGGAGGCACTATCTCAGATGCCTAAGTATGCGAAGTTCCTGAAGGAGCTTCTCTCGAAGAAGCGGAGGCTGAGCGAGCTAGCCACTGTGGAGCTCATCGAGGAATGCTCAGCCATTCTGCAGAACAAGCTTCCGCAGAAGCAAAAGGACCCAGGTAGTTTTACTATCCCGTGCTCTATAGGTAAATTGCATGTAGAGAGGTCCTTGGCGGATCTAGGTGCTAGTATTAATGTGATACCATATAAATTGTTTAAGAAACTAGGCCTAGGTGAACCCAGTGCAACTAGGATGAGTATTCAACTAGCTGACCGATCTATAGTTCATCCTAGGGGCATAGTGGAAGACCTTCTGGTTAAGGTTGGCAGATTCTTTTATCCTATGGATTTTGTTGTCTTGGACATCAATGAAGACACAGAAGTGCCCCTTATATTAGGAAGGCCTTTCCTGGCCACCTCCAAGGCTCTCATAGATGTGCATGATGGGACCTTAGTCTTGAGGGATGGCAAGGAGCAAATAACATTTTCCATTGCTAATACTCTCCCTGCTTCATCGCCTTTGCATGTTGTTTCTCACCAGGAGCACGAGTCTTTCGTGTATCCTTTTGTGCTTCCCATTTTGTAGGATCCCTCTCACATATCTTCGCTGCCACTCCCGTCCACTCCATTACCAA